AAAAAAAAGCTTATTAACTATAGGCAAGCTTTTAATTACGATTTTATCTAATTAGGCGACCGGAAATTATTTATTTATAAATACGGTATAATAATTATATAACTCGGATTTAAAATATTATTATTAAATAATATAGCCTATTATCCTAAGCTGCTAATTATATTAGTATTATTCCGTTAATTATAAAAATAAAGATATTATTAGGATAATAAAAACGACCTTATAATATTACGCAAAAAAAATAAATTTTTAATTAATATATTTTAAAACCGATATAGATAATATATCTTTAAATATAAACCTTACGAATTATTTTTAGCGTTATTTACTATTTATTAAAAAAAATATATAATATAAATAAAAAGGCTATTATTAATTAAGGAAGCTATATAATAATATTATAAAATAAAATATTTAAGCCCGGCAGTTTTCGAATACCTTATTTATTTATTTTAAAGGGTAAAAAATAAAAGATTAATTATAATAAAATATAAAGCCTGCGTATTTATAAAGATTACGCGCTAATTACGGTAAGCGCTACGGCTAATTAATAAAAATTATAACGAACGATTAGCTATAAATTTCTATAATTATACTAAAAGGATCGAAAACTATATATCCTAAATGCTAATTACCTATCGGCAAATAGAATATATATAAAATTATTATTTTATAAAAAAAACTACGGTTGCATTAATTAACGCTTTCTAATCGTTTCTAAATATAATAAAAACCTAATATAATATTAAAATTAAAATTATCGAATACGATAACAAAATTATAAAAATTAAATAGGTAATAAAAAAATATTTCGAAAATAAATATATTAAATTCGAGCCTTTAGCATTATATATATAAGCCTAAAATAAAACTGCTAAACGCTTAAAAGGTATAATTAAAAAAAAAAACGGGTAATGCATATTAGCGTAAAACTTTTTTATTAATTTTAGCCCGAAATCGGCAAAACCGCGGTATATTTATATAATCGTACGCCGAATTATAATTCCCGATAGCGCATATTATATATAAGATTTTATAAAATAATTGCAAAAGCAAAAAAAGTTTTAAATTTAAGCTATAAACCTAATTAAATTTATTTTAAAATATTCGGATATAAAGCGTACGTAATAACGTTAACGGTATAATAAAAATTCGGCCGTTTATAGCGATTAATACCTAAGGCATAAATAGAATATTTAATCGGATATAAGTTATCTAATATTTACAAAATTTAAATTTTTAATTAAAATAAATTAATTAATACGAAAAATATAATTATAAACAAAAAAGAATTATACGACGGAAAATAGGATATATTTAAAAATAAGCTTTTAAATATTAATACCTAGCTTATCGCCGATTTCGTAATTAATTACGCAATATTTAAAAATAAAATTTTATAAAAACTAAAAAATAAAAATACCGCCGCAAAAGATATTTTATTAAATAATAATTAAAACGATTAAAAAAAAAATAATAATTAAAAAAATAAAAAAGTAGCGCTAAATAAAAAAAATAAATAATACCCTTTTATTACCGTAAAATTTACCTTTTAAACTTTATTATAAATACCTTTATTAGCCTTATTAATATATAGTATAAAAGCGATTACGATTAAGAATACGGCGCTATTAAAAAAAAAACCTAAAATAATCCTATAGCAAACAGCTTTTTTAGCTAATTATAAAGCTATTTTTAAAATAAAATAAAGCAATAATTAAAACGATAAAGCAAAGCTAAAACGCTTTTTTTATTAAAAAGTAAAAATTTATAAAACGGAAATCCCAGCTTTCCCTAAATAATATTATAAATATATTATTATCCGTTTAGCAAATTATTCCTTTAAGCAAAAGCTAATTATTTATAAAATTATAAAAATATATAATTTTAAATTAAAATTAATAAAAAAGATTTATAAATAAAAAATAAATAAATTTTAATTATATATAAGTATATATATATAAATTCGATAAATATAAGAAATTCTAAAAATATAAAGCAAAATTCGTCGTTCGCGGTAATTAATAGGCGAAATCCTAAAATTAAGAAACCTACGCGGCTATATTAACTAAAAAGTTATTTCGCACCCTAATCGCGATTATAGCGAAATTCGACCTTAAATTAATATAATATAACGTAATAAACGCGTTTATATACGCTTTTATTAATTAAAATATATTTATAAAAATGCCGGATAAATATCGAAAAAAAAACGCTATATTATTATTAAATAAAGCATTTTATAAATTACGGATATTACTGCTATTATAATAAAATAAATTTATAAAAATTTTAGCCGAAATCGGTTATATTTAAATACTATATAAGCCTTACGCATTTATTAAAAAAAAATGCTAATCTTTTTTTACATTAATAATATAATTATCGCATATAAAAATAAAAATAAAAAAGCTATTAATTATTTAATATAGCATTTTATAAAAAAATATAAAATTAATAATAATAAGCTAATATAATAATTCCTTAAAATAAAAATAATTAAAAATCGTATATCTAAAATAATCTGGTTTTTTTAAAAGGCTTATTTTAAAAAAATCGCTAAATTTGCAAATAAAAAAAAAATTTATATAACGTTAATAAGCTGCGAAAAACTTATACCTCGATTAATTATAGCGTTTTTTTATAAAATATAAAAATATTAAAAAAAAAATCGGATTACTGCTATTCGCGGCTATATTTATAAAATTAAATATTGCATTTATAATAGCTAAATTAGCTCGATTTTTTAATAATTTAAGCTAAATATATTAAAAAGCTATTAATCGAGCTTTAATTTACCTAATTAATATTAAAAAACTTTCGCTTAAAATCGGAAAATTTTTTAATTTAATAATTGCTAATAACGCATTATTTACCAATAATAGCATCGATCGCAAAAATACCTAAATATTTGCTATAAAGCTATTCGGAAAATTAATTAATTAGCGATTAAATAAATAAAATATAATTATTATTTTTATTATAAAAGCTAAGTTATTTGCTTTAGCGCAAGCTATTAAAAAAATATTATTCGTTAGCCGATTATTAAAAAAATTATCGATATAATTGGATAATAGCACTATTATTATTAAATATAATAATAAGCAAATTATTAATTTAATTAACGCTAAAATCGCGTTATTAAAAATAAAGCTCCGTTATATAAATATTTATAACTATTAATTACGATAAAAAGCTTAAAAAAAAAATTAAAATTATTTATAAATTTTTAAATAAAATAATAGCAAATAAATTAACGAAAAACTTGCTAATAGGCAAATAGCAAAATTTTTTATAATAAATAGGATTTAATATTATTTATCGTAATTAAAATAAATAGCCCTAAAAAAAGCTATATTTTGCTAATTAGCAATTTTAATTTAAATATAGCCAAATTTACGATAAATCGTAAATTTAAAGGGGTGTGTTAAATAGTAGATTATAGTTCCTATATATTAGGGTATGCTTAAGCATACGGATTAACCCCATAATATTTAAATAAATATACGGAACCTCCCGGGGATTAGCTAGGGCCACCTAAATAAGCGTATACCTTATTAAAACTAAAAGGCGTAAAATATAAATTAATATATTATATAATTAACACCTATACCAGACTAGTTTAAACTCTAATAGGAAAGCACCACCTTAATTAATAGTAAGTCTCGTCCATATCGCGCACTTCGTGCTGCAATTTGGGCGCAGCTAGGGCGAGGTCGATTGCCACGGCGGCGGCGATAATAAGAATTGACTTTATGGCTGTTATAATTAAAGACGCTTAAGCAGTGCAAGGACATAATGGCGAATGCATACTCTTATGCTAAGGAATTAGCTATATATATTATTATTATAATTTAAGCTAAAGTGGGTTAGGAGGATAAGTATAATCCTTGTTTTTCGGTGATAAAATGCAAAATGGGATTTTTTTAAGCGGTCGCCGACGGAAAAGGATTAGTGATTTTGCAGCGATTATAAATAAGCCGATAAGCCGATAAATAATAACCTAATTATCGTCGAATAAAGCGCACGTAAAGGCGTAGACTTAAATTAAAATATAGCAGTGTGCCTTATACGGCTTTTTAAATTAATTGCTAATATATAAGGCTTAGCAAGGGCTTAAAGCCTAGCGCCGGCTGCATTAAATCTCGCTTTTGCACGTTATTAAGGCCGATTTCTGGTTCGTTAGTGCTTTTATTTTATGACGTTAATGGAAATATTGCCCGGAATTTCTTCGTATTTCCTCCAGATTTTATTAATGACTTTCATGGTATTTTAAAGAATTATATTAGATTTTTTAATTAGGGCTAAGCTAAGGGCGTACGGTAAACGGAGGAATAGCAAACTGCTAAAGCCTAAAGCTCGCCGCCGAGTTCCGATAGCTTAAGCCCCGTATTACCCATAATTATTATAAAAATATACCCCGATCCTTACCGACCCGATATTATGGAAACTATTTTATAAGTCTAAATTCGAATAGCAATTAATTAGCTTGCCTCGTGCTTAAATTCAATTATAATAGGCTAAACTTTAATACTTAATATTTAAATACCGCAATTAATCGTCTTCGCTTATACCGCTATTAAAATCCATTAGAATTTATTAAGCCGTTAGCAAACTTGGCCTAACCTTTAGCGAGATAATTAACGGACCCTTTTCTTAAACTCCGTAATATAATTAATTTTTATGCCACGCCTTATAATTTCCAACTAAATTATAATTAAAATTATATAAAAATCGAGCTATAATAAGTCGCAATTTTATATATGCTAAGTTTTTACTAATGTAGTCCTTTGGCTTATGGCTAAATGGTTTAAATATAGCTTTGTTATCGTTTTAGTATTTAGAGTCGTATAATGGGTGAGTTGCAAGGAGCCATTTTTGCGGTTTAAAGGAATTAGGCTTAACTTAATGCTTTAAATTGCGGAAGCTTACCCATAAATATATAAATATCGATGTTTATTATTTATTAGTTTCCGCTATTAAAATAGGCAAATAAAGAATTAATTATTCACGCCAGCAGGGATATAGTGTCTATTTATATAATCGCTAAGAGATATACGAGCTGGGATTTCCGGAGCTGGCGGGTAGACGCGCAGTGTTTCTTCGATGCAGGCCTTGAGGTAGACCAATTTTTCGGTTGAACGCATACTGATCTCCGACTCGTCTGAAAAGGCCGAGCGCACCTCCTCTTTGAGCGAATCCAAGATGGCCGGGTTCTGCGCAGCGTAAAAGAAAAAGCCCGATAGGGCCGTCGCCGTGGTCTCGCTTCCCGCCCCGACGAGCACCCCGCTGTTGGCCATGATCTCCACGTCCGATATGCCCTTTTCGCCGTGTCGGTTCTCTCGGAGCATGTAGGTCATGAAATCGCGTCGCCCGCCTTGGGGTTCCGCTCCCTGGCTTATGCGCGCCTGCGCCTTGGCAGCGGCATACTCTCGGTTTTGTAATTCTTTTTGCAGAGATTTTGCCGGCCTGAAATAGTTCAGTAGTGATAGGATGGGGTACGCGCGGAGGAAACCTTGATAGCTCGCGGCTTTGACGTTTTCGAATATGGCCAAGACCCAGGGATGATAATTGCTTGACTCGAGACTTCCAAACGAGTTTGCAAATGCTAGATCTCCAATAATGTCGAATGTGGTAAAATTGAGCCAGTGCACAAGATTAAAAGTTTCGCCAACCACGGCTCGCTCTCTTAATCTCGAGATGAAAAGATCAATATAACTTTTAATGATGGGCTCCTGCTTATATATTGCGGCCTCGCTGAAGGCATGGGCCAAATGGCGGCGCTGTCGACGATGGACCTCGGTAGTGTTGCCTCCAATGATGGTGATTTTATCCCCAGGAAAGAAAAAGTTCTTCCCTTTGAGAAACTCGGGATTCCCGCCACTACGGTGGTGGTAGATCTGCGGCCATGCGACTGACCCCTCAACTGCCAGCACATCTGGAGCAATGCGCACGACGGATCCGTAGCGCATATGCATATCTCGAGTCTGACGAGTCCATGTGGCTTGGATATGGTGTTGATAGCGAAAGGGAAGCGACGAAGCGGCGTTTAGCCATGGACCTGGAACTTTGCGCAGCGGATGGAACCAAAGGCGATAAAATATTAAGGCGATGCGATATATGAGTAGCTGGTGAGTGGTGTTAGCAATTACTTGGACGTGGGAGCTATTGGAGGGTTCCTACCGATGCGGCACTCAGATAAATAATTTGAATGCGAATACCTTCGCCGAAAGAGTGGAGCATCTTGTTCACGGAATGGGTTGTTGCTGTTTAATTGCAATTGTTATTGTTGTCGAGAATTTCGCCGGCCCTTTATTATACACATGAAGCATAGCAGGGAGTCCAGAATTTAATTATATCGGTTCGGGCCCGGACTCGGTCGCGTTGAAGAGCCCGATAAACCGGCAGATTACCGGAAGTGTATACGTGCGGTGGTTGCATTAGCGGGCAGACGTTTTAGCAAAGATAGCTGGTATATAGCCTATTAAGACAGCGATCCACACTATAAAGTATACTTTATACACCGCCTTCCACCTTATATGTAAACAGTTTAGAGCATTAATTAATTAGGATGTATGGACCTTACCCGTAAAATTAAAAGGATGGAATTGCTTAGGGCTTGCATTTATTCCATTACGTAAAACTAATTTGTAGAGTGTAGGCTAATTTTAATTTAAAACCATTAATTAAAGCAAATATAGCCTCGCACTAAGATTATAGCAATGGCTTATTTTATAGCGTTTATAATTTGCTATTTTATAATGATTATATACGTTAATAAAATGATTATAACGCAAAATAGCTTAGTTTTCTCCGCAGCATTTATAATTTGGATATTTAGGGTAATGGAATTAATTTAGGGGCGCACCGTCGGGGTGCATATATGCTAGCTAAAGCCGCTTACCTTATAAAGCGCCCCGCAAATAATATTTACGTAATATTTTAATAAAAAAGTAATTATATTTATATAATTTATGTTAAATTATTGCCTATATTTATGCTTTATGCCGCAGCTTTTAGTGTTAATAATAATTTAATAAGTTTATTCTCTTATAAGCGCCTTAAGAAATTGCTAAAATATATTAATTATTTTGCATTAATTAACAGGTTTAATTAGTTTTATAGGCCGTTTATTATAGCATTATCTAAGTTTATTATTATATACGATAATAATTAATAATTCTTAAATTAATTGCTAAATTAATTTTTTAATATTAATTTATCGTATTAATTAATGCTTACGATTTTAAAGGATAAGCTTTTATAATTTCTTTAATTAAAACGTTTTCTAGCATATAGCGTCGGTTAGCAACTCGCTAAAAATTATTTAACCCCACTAAACCTCTTTTATTTTGCCGCTATTTTAATATTAATTAAGCCGCCTAAATTAAGGCCGGAGGACTAGGTGGCATTTTGACTTTAAAGACTTTTCGATTATATCTAAGGCATATTCTTCAGGGCTTAGCGTGGATGTTGCTTTGTTATAAGTGACCCTTTTCTCAAATAAATTGCGAACCCGGTCGTAAAATGAATCTTCGGGCAGTGTTCGATGAATGGTTTTTGTGCTTGTTTTAATAAAACCTATTATGAGGACTATGACTTATACGTTAAAGGGTCGTAGTTCTTGCCGTAAAATCCTATTATAATTTATGATGGCTCCTTTGGTCGCACTAAAGACACTCCCGAACACGTAGGGCGTGACAGCTGCCAGTGAGGCAATGTTGATAATTGTTGAATAATACCATTGTACCATAGAACCAAAAGAGACATGTCCCCACGGTCTGGGAACATAACAGGTATTATCTGACACACCCCCTCAGCTGGGACGTAGTTCTTTACGGGCGAGCTGGATATCTAGTATTCCAATAGGCTTTTAGCTCTGTTACGTCTTTTTAGCTGGATAACGTAGCTGGCGATCGAACCCAGAACCTCCCCTTATTCGGTGCACTACCAGTTGTGCTACTAGGTTATCGCGGAAATGCGTGGGTCGCTAACCCACTGGTTAATGCACGGGTGGCCCTTGCGAGCGAATGAGACTTTTAATTATTAAATAATACCATTGTACCATAGAACCAAAAGAGACATGTCCCCACGGTCTGGGAACATAACAGGTATTATCTGACAATAATCAGCCCTTCCGCCTTAATTAGCAACCCTCTAAATGCAGCTACCATCGCCATTACTCTAATGACATTCGTCTCGAATGTCTTTTGGACATTTGGAATCGAGACGTCGAGGGCTGGATGAGTGTGTGTACGACCGCTGTTTTCAGAAATTAGCATAGGCTCGACGTAGATCAGCGCGGCGATCACTTTCTTACGCATTGTTGATGAGAATATCCAATCGACCGCCGGCAATGCGATTAACCTCTGACTGACAGTTTGAGATGCTCGTGCTATCCGTTACGTCAAGCTGTAAGACGCTGACGTTCGGACTTGTTAGATCGATTATTACTGCCGGCGTTCGCGCTATCGCAAATACGTACAGTCTTTGATAATACTTTAATATTAGATTCTTGTGTCCCGCGAAACGTATGTTCGAATGGCTTTACCTCGTTTTTTATATTCGATTGCTAATGTATGATTAATTCCGCTAGGCGTATAATTGTGAATGCGCGTTGAGCGTCCGATGTGGGGATTTGGATTAGTAACGTGGGATAATGGGATATGTGAATATATTTTGTAATTAATACGCACTTTTGATTTAAAAGTGGCGGCATAATGGAGCTATACGTGTGAATTTCGAAATATTATGTGAAATATTATAGGGAGAATATGAGGCAGATGTGTTATGATGAATTTAGATGCTGGGTATTGTGATGCGGAGTTCCCGAGTTCCGCGTGCTAATAGTATATGCAGATCCGAAAACCGAGCTTTCGAAGGCTTTAAGGTTATTATTGCCTATGTAGGTTATTAATCGAAGCCACTACCACTAGCCATTAAGTGGCTAGTGGCAGCCTATTAATGAGGTTTTTCCCACCTCGGTTTTAATAAGACTTAATATGTATAAGCTATGAGGACTTCTTAATTTGCAAAGTCGATTAAAGCTTTACCTAAAAGAGAGAAATTAGAAGCAAAGCACGGAGAAGGAGCGCGGGTAAGTGTTAAGCAATAGGAGGGTCCGCGGGATACACCGTTAAAAGTTAAAATGTTAAACGCTAAAGCAATAGCTAATAATTCGCCTATTACAAATAAAATGTAATATTAATTAAAGTGCATAGCATTTAATAAAAACCGTACCGTCGATCACGAGGGCTATTTTATTTTATTTAAATTGCTAGTTATTATTTACGGCGCTCGTAAAGGGCAGGATTCGAGTTCGCAGCGCTTAGGGGGCTAAGGGCTACGGGTAGATTAGGGCTAATTATTTAGTCGCTGATCCCGCTAAAAGAAAACCTGCCCACCCAGATATTTATTAGGCACGGCTTAGCATGGAAAACGATTTTAAGAACGAGGAGGAGTGGTGATATTAATATTAAAGGGAGAAGGTTTAGCTAATAGCTGCTAACGTTATTATTGTTTTTACCTTTTATTTAATATTAAATTCGCATTTTTTAGCTTATTTAGCTCTTTTAGCGCGATCCCGCGTTGGAATTTATGCTACGACCTTAATTCTTATTTAAGCCAATTAAAAGCAAGCTATAACGACGTATAAAGCAGTGTGGGTAAAGCTTAGATATGCAAAAAAAGCATGGGAGGGCTATAATAACTACATTACGGGTTTCCAGAATAAACCTGAAATATAAAAGGTGTTGGGGTTTATGCTAATAAGGAACGGTAGCTTCGAAAAAAAATATTAAGCAATAAATCTTTAAAAATAAGGGTAATCGAACTAATTTATAAATATAATCGTTAAAGCGTATTAAATGCTTTATTTATAAGTAAGATAAATGCTTAAATTAATTATTAAGGTAATAATTATTTATATAAAAATCTTTTTATAATATATATTTATTTATTTTTTTATTAATATTTTTTAAATTATAATGCTAAGCCGATTTTATAATTTTAGAGTTAATAGAATTTAATAATTTTAATAATTTAACCGTTTAAATTATTATTAAAATTATAATTTTATTAGGCAGCTGGCTAATAATTATTAAAAATAGCGGTTTTTATTTTAACTTATTCCCGGCTTTCGGTGCTAAGCCTTTTTTTTTTCTTTAAACGCTAATATATTTATTTATTTTTATGTAAAGGTATATATTCGTAATATTAGCTTTTTTTTTATATTTTTTATTTTCGAAAAATTTTAGGCTGCTTAAATAGGTTATAATGCTTACGTGCCGTAATTATTTGTAACAATGGTGCCCTCCCGGACCACGTTGCCGGCTGTCACCACTATATAACCGGTCCGTACGTACGTAGCTTAGTTAGTCAGCTTTCAACTTTGACATTAACCCCCCGTATACTGCCGCACCTCACCTATATAGTCACCATATCGCCAGTATATCGTTATTTATTTAATTATATTGCTTTATATTGTTATAATCTTAAAAGCTCTCCTATAGGTGGCTTGCGGCATCGTTTCCTCCCGTCCATATCGTCGTCTCCGTCCCCGTCGTCCTCCAGCGCACAAAAATGGCGTATTCGCAAAATTCCCGTACGACGCGTAATGCTATTGCAGCTGCACTTAATCCGGCCAGCACCGATACTAATACGGCTGCTATAAAATAGCAGCTTACCGGAGGGCAATAGCCTAACGACCCTTTCGTCGTTATAAAATAGCAGCTAAAAAAACTTTAAAAGCAAATCGAAAGGGCCGAATAGCTAGCTACGTTAAAAAGATAGCTCCGTTAGCTTTAGCAGCAAAATAATAAAAACGCGGCCTTTTTGTTATTTCGTCGCCGCCGTCGTAACGATAACTTTAGATTAAAACGCGATTACGACGTTAACCTAAAAAAGTTAATTAGGGTATTTATACTAAAATTTTCTTTTAGGCAACGGGACGAGTAATTTACCGACCTCCGCCGTGCTTTTAATAATACTCCGAAGAAATATAAATAGCTACGCCGCCGTATTAACTTAGCTATTTCGAAAATAGATTCCTAATACCGACTTTTATAAAATTGTAAAATCCAGCGCCTCGAAAACGACGATTTAGCGCTAGCCGAACGCACCGCCAGCGATTAGGCTACGTTTTTTAAGTAAATTGCTAGCCTAATTTGCGATACCGGATATTATAAAGCTGCGATTACAAAATTGCTCGAAGCTGCATAACAGGGTCTAAAGCAGCATCCTAAGGACTTTAATAACTACCTTTAGTCCTTAAAAGATTAAAATAACGATCGCCGGACGGGAGCCGCTAGCGCTCGTTATTTTTACGCAAAGCTAATGGAACGGCTAAGAAACAAATTAAAAACGCAGCTTACGACGTTACCTATTATATATAAGGGTATAATCGGGACGGCTATTAGGTTATAGGAACTATTTAACCTAGCGCCTATTATAAAATCCCGACGTAATCGCCACCGGATCGATTATGCCGCGCCGTAAAAACGTACGGATTATACTATTACGAAGCTAGTATAATTAACTTTATCGCTAGCCCCGACGTCCTTTACGTCTACCATTATAATATTAAATTTAGCTCGGGTCCAGCTATTTTTAGCTACGACGATTATTACTAAAGATCCTAAGCTATCAGCCTTTTTATCCGACGGCATACGTCGTAATAAAAAAGGGAAAATTATGCCTTGCCGTAAATATAATAGCACTATATATTAAAAATTAAAATACCTTAATAGCAACGAAAGCAATTCGTTATCGTATCGCCTAAATAACGCTAAATCGTCGTAATAGCATTATAAAGGTTTTCGTCTTATTAGGTTTTTCCCTTTATACGGCTAATGCCGATAAATATATGCTAATAATCTATTTATTATAATTTTATATTATCGTTATACGTGGTTTTATATCGTTATTATACGTAATTCTATATAATTATATAATTTTATTTTCGTCGTTTAGTTATAAATTATCGTATTAGCAATAGTCCGCCGGTGTATTTATAATGGTTCGTCGTCTATTCCCTAATCCCGTCGTTAATCTGCAATCCCGTTAATTTATTTATTAGTCCGTTAGTTATAGGTGGTTCCCAGTGCGGGATATCACCTATATATATAATAGTTAGAGTTTTTAGTCACCTATCCAGTCCTAATATAGTGTATCCTAGCCAGTTCGCAATGGGATCGCCGTCGGGGAGTTAATCGTACGTAGTCGACTATATGGTTAGTCGTCGTAATGTATAGCCTGGCGTGGCAGCTAGATGCCCTCAGCAACCCGTTGAAATCAGGTAAATCCAGTGCGCGGCTGGTACCGTAGTTGTTATCGCACTAGCAGAAGCCGTGATCCGGGTCAAGGCCTTGATTCCAAGGGAACGCTGGCTTCGGGGTCGAAGCACCGCTTAAAAGGGGGGGATAATTATAACGATGGTGCCTTCCCGGACCACGTTACCGGCTGTTACCACTATATAACCGGTCCGTACGTACGTAGCTTAGTCAGTCAGCTTTCAACTTTAACATCAACCCCCCGTATACTGCCGCACCTCACCTGTATAGTCACCATATCGCTAGTGTATCGTCACTTATTTAATTGTGTTGCTCTGTACTATTACAGCCCCTCCCTTCCTTCCTTAAGCGCTAACACATTTATTTGTTTTTATGCAAAGGTGCATATTCGTAATAAGGGCGAGCAATAATAAATACTGGCCTTATTCGAGCAAACGATCTCCTTCGAGCAAAATAGCATGAGAAGCAATAAAGTAAATTCCTTTAATTTTTAGGTCATATTTAATATTGTATTATTATAAAATTGTTTCCGTCCCGTGGGCATATAAGTCCCAGTTCGCGATCGTTTCCTAACGATTTCGAGCATGCTCTTTACCTATCATCGTGCATTAGCAATGTATAACTGTGGCAATTTATATTTAGGTACCGAAATACTCATGTAATTACCCTAAAAATCGAATAAATCTGGATAAACGAGAGTGAGATTATAAGAAGCTAAGTGAATATATACTTTTAACATTTTTAAAAACAACTATTTAGTTAAATTTCATTTACAACTTATCCACTAATGAATATAACTAATTCAACAAGTGACAGTTTTCAGCCCCAGGGAATTTTATTTATATGTTCACGGATTTAGCATTATGGGATATTTCCACCTCGAATTTGCAATTAAATCCAAAACTGTTCCCGTATATATAAAATTATTGGTGAAATCCAAATTCATCCTCACGTTAATATCCTTCCTGCGCCATTTTTTGTTGGTCTTCTCACCTGGACGCCAAACGAACAATGGGCAATTGTTTTGTGTAGCATTTGCCGAAGCTAGTGTCGGAGCAATTTTCCATACACCGAAGCTTTCAGGTGCCGGCATTTGCTTACTCTTAAAGCAGTTATATATCTCATTAGCAGACTCTTGGATAGCTTTTTTGCACTATGCAAGGGTGGCATTATTGAAGATATTAGCGAGACGCTTGTCTCCGTATATTGTCCAAGAGTCGCCGCGAGGATTCTGGATATAGAGTCCAATGGCATTATCTTTATCGTGCATATATTATCGATATGTTAATTACGTGGAATTGTTATTTTGTCATCCTACTCACTTTTGCACATAGATTTTTGAAAGGATTACCTGATAATATACGTTGTGGTGTTCGTAGGTGGCCGGCTGAGAAGCGATCCCCGAGGAAATGATCGGCGAATGCATTCAGCCGGTAGGCATTATCGAGATCCCCCTTCTGAGCGAGTTGCAGGGCAGCAGTATGACCAGCATTGTAGGCTGTCTTTGCGTCCGATCCGAAATGGTTAAGATTTAGAGACGCCAGTTTGATATAACTCGGTTAATTAGAAGGCCTAAGCGCTGTTAACAGTTGGAACTTGATATTTTTGTCGGGAAGCTTTGCATAAGCTTTTGAGGGGTCCCGGTGACTTGCGATGGCAGTATTGACGGTGTTTACCTCCTTTTGCAACGCGGCAAGAATATCTTTTGCTTTTTGTGGTTGACGAGAGGATGGATTTTTAGCCAATGTTTTGTACGCGCGCATGAACCGAGCGATCTGGTCCCGCTGGCTTTGACTTTCACAAATGGGATCATATGTGCCGTAAAAGTCGCCGGCGAGTGCACTTATTTGCCCGTAGGTTAATTTTAGCTTCCCGTTGTAGAAAGTGAACGGGTAGTCTCGAGCAATCTTAGACGTGCCATCTTTCATTTTCAGTGTGACAGTATTACCTATTAGAGCGTGCTCAGCAAACTCGAGATCTATGCTAACTTTAGCCTTGATGAATGCTCAAGGGTTGTGGCCAAACGTACGAAGCATGCCATCTCCAGACGATTTCGTGGGAGCATCGCCCACAATTGGAATCGTGCTAAAAGAGACCGCATTGTCAAGAATGCCGGATGCCTGCAGTCTCTTTCGATCGTCTTCCGAAATAGTTGCGTGATCCTCTATTGCTTTTTGATTTTTGCTGACGGGGAAGAGCGAGTCCTGATGATCAACTGTGATCACAGCAGGCGACATGGTGCAGGATATCTCACGGAAGAATAATTCGTTGCCAAGAAGAGAAGAGGAGTAAGTGGTTCGAAACCTTGTTTTTGAATACCAAATTGATATCTCACATAAGCGAGACTGAGAAGAATAATATGAGCAAAGAAGATTAGGGGAGGGTATGAGTTGTTCTTATAGAATTGTGGAAGCAAGGCGTTAAAGAGCCATCTGATATAGTCGAATAGGTCATCCCTGGTGGGAATCGTCTGCTCCAGTGGAGTTTGACCTTCGGATTCGATGATTTAAGCACAGGATCAAGAATCGTTGGCTTTATTACTCACGCAGGCTTTTAATGAATAAAAAGCACACATCCCCTACATCTTTAAAATGTCTCTGATTCGTACTGGATCGTACCAGAGAGTTTGTGGATCGATTAAGTCGAATATTATAAGGGCTATATACGTAGTGTTTTCTAACTAATACATCACATGTACGCGTGATTCCGGTATTTGGTGATTATAGAAATATATTACTTAGATAGCTAGAACACTATTTTCGAACGCCAGAGAAAGGTTTTACGAACTCATAATGATAGTGGCATGTTTAAATTTTCGAGCCAGCGTTAAATTTGCGCCGATTCAATAGAACATTCTAGGCAACTATATATCTCGCTAAAACGATATGTTACTTTATAGACTGCGTATTAGCTTCCTAGTATTTTCTTATATCCTTATGTGTGGGAATTTGATGCGAGTAAGTGTATTTAGTTTAAGTGAACGGATTTAGCTATATGGGTTTAGTTTAATAAATTGCGAAGAACCTAATTGCCTTTTACTGCCTATAGGAAATAGCCGTGAAGCCGGAGGGTCCCGAGTCTGTTGTTTTTATTCGTTAGAATGAGAGTTGCACCTATTTACTTTAGTTAAAGTCAACCTTTTATATGGTCGAACAACTGCCATATATCTTTACGTGCACCTTTGCTTTAGTAGGTTCGCATTCAGGGTGCCTCGGATTCTATATTACAATTATATTTGCCGATTTATGCTAAGTTTCCAATATGTCTCATCTTTTAAGTGCCATATTCTAGCTTTACTTTTATATTTGGACGAGGCGTGCTGCTACTCGATTTATCTCTAATTTCACCAAATGATTGACTAACACCCACTCCAGAGCTTTATCAGAAGCGCTAATCGTCTTGAATAGTACCTTTAAGTTCAACTCGTTATGTAGTAGATTCAAAAAGAAAAGCTGATAATGTGTGTTGTATTTGCATCGATATTCTGGCAATCTATCTGGGCGGATGGCTGTTGCGTGGCACGATGATGTATTTAAAGCCATGGTTTTCTAAAATTTTCCTTCCTTTTTAGCCAGTATTGTACGAACCATCTGTTTTTTTCTTTCAAATTTTTAAGAATATAAGTGCAATTATGGGCGAAGGAGGATTATTGGTGCTCGTAAATGGCACGCCATACAAATGGAAGCGGATGGACCAATGGGCCTATTAAATGGCTATTTGGAAATTCCCGGAATGGATTGATGCAGGTCAGTAGCTCCCCTAGCGAGTTGATGAATGAAAGCACGTAATAAGAGTATTGATGGTTTATTAGGCACGGTCTCAACCAATTATGTTGAGTTCAAGCAGACTTTGGGTACAACTCGTGGTGATACCCACGGCAAGCTCAATTATCAACTTGACGGAACGAACTTTTCCTTCTAAATCGAGATCCGTGATTCTCCAGGACGAATTACTGCTGTCCTGGTTGCTTTGGAAGCAGTCAGTAACCCCCGTGGCTCTTCAATTCCGCTGGGTTGGAACCATGACGGTATCACGAGCTTCATCCTCTCCGGGAAACAGGGCAACTTCCACACGCTCAATCCCCCAGTGAGCTGGATGCAAAAGAATCGAAGCACTTTAGGAAATCGACCGCTATCGCAGATCTGCATGCTCGGAACTCACGATGCAGGCATGTCCTTTGTATCTCACGCCGATTTTCCTCGAGGGCTCGTTGATCCCTTCGTCCTTTGTCAGTCTACTCCGGTTTATGGACAATTGGTTCTTGGATCCCGATATCTCGATATTCGTCCTGAAATATCTGGTGGTGATTTCTGGACTGGTCACTACAGCGGCAAGCTTGGAGGCCGCGGTGAGTCGATGGCCAATATCATCACTGGCGTGAACAGATTCCTATCAGACAATGCAGAATTGGTCATCCTCAACTTCTCACACAGCCTCCAAACTGATGTCAGTGGCGACTGGAGGAGCTTCAATCGTGATGAGTGGCACAAACTCATGCAGGAGCTTCAGCAGCTACAGAACCTCTTTGTGGTCCAAGACGAGACAAAAGCGAAAGACCTGAGTCTTCTCACCTTGGATGATTTCATTGGTAATGGCAGGGGAGCAGTCATTTGTGTTATGGAGGATGACAGTCTTGACCTTGGTGACTTCAAGAAAAGGGGGTTCTACAAGCCTTCGCAGCTAAATGTTCGCAACGAGTACTCCAACACCGACGATGCGGTCAACATGGTGAAAGACCAGCTTAAGAAAATGAAGGACAACATGTCGATCAAAGACAAAAGGCTTTTCTTACTATCCTGGACGCTGACTCAACAAATCAGAATTGAGCCAAACATCGCGAAGCTCGTGCTGCTTCTCAAGAATCTGAAGTCAATCAAGACAATGGCATACACTGCCAACAAGGCGCTAGTAACAGAACTGCTACCCGTCGTGGATAAGAACTCATTCCCCAACGTTGTTTACCTTGATTTTGTCGACAACTTGAGTTATGTGGCGCTTGTCATGGCTGTTAATGACAAGGTATTCAATAACTGAGATGTTGAGTGTTTGTTCAAAAGTGTATTCCACGGGCGCCATTCAAGGGTCTTGTCGCAGAAGTGTACCTCGAAACTTGAGTCTGAGTCAATATAATCAGATTCGGTCCTATTCAAGAGACTGATCATGTATCGATCGTAAAGAGTATTATCGTTACCTGAGCGGAAAAGGGCGTGGGGAAACAATGATTGTTCGCCCATATAATGATTGTTGACTACACAATGGTTATAGGGCCTTTTGGCAGTAGTTATTGTTTCTAGAAGGGTGCCTGACACATATCAATTGGAATAACCAGACTTCCTTCCGTGGATTAGCACCTTGATTTAATGGAAGACAAAGCCTTTAAAACCCGAAGATCTCTGGAATGCCCCAATTCATTCTCAGGTAGGGTGCCCACATTTAAGCGCGGGGATGCCAACCGGCCACGCCATCCACGATGACTAAGTAACAGACGAAAAGCCACTGCCTTGCAAAGTTTTATGGGAATAAACTTCTCCAAATCAAGGCTTGGACCTTAAAACCCGAGCCTTAAAGTGTAAGAAAGACTAGCTCGCTCCCTTGAAAATGACCATCTAATTTAAGATCTTTGATAAGTAGCTTGCTCAAAATGTTATTAGCTCCTAACTGTTTGATTCGGTTGAATGCTGCGCGATCCTATTAATGTGAAGTTAATTTAGACTCTTCAAAAGTCTGCCTAGAGCCTCTAAGTCACCAAGCTTGGCATTTGCCTGCCGGCGATTTTAAAGATGGTTAAACTTGAACGGTTGTGATTTTAATGTACAACACCTCGTGTGGGGTGGCAGCCTTAGGCCCCTGCCTTACTCGTAGATAGCCGGTGCAGCTTGAGCTTGGATTAGCTAGCATTGCCTTCCTTTACCATCTCACCATCTTTCGGTAGACTTCATCAATGGACTTGATTCTGTCCCCCATCAACACCAATGTGAGTAGCATTGACTATCAAGTATCCGCTTAGCTGCGGAAGGATCGTATACGAGGCCCAACTTATCTTTCCCCGGCGCGAATGGTTCTTACAAGTGATGCGTCGCAAAAGGTCGCTGTAAAGGTGCAGGGTGTATCACTGCAGCGGTGAATGGCAGGTAGATTTTTTGACGCACTCTTCCTATCGGTCGGCAAGCTGTCGTGCCATATGCTAATAGTCACCGCCCAAAAAGTATGGAACCAAAGTTCAAAACGGAAACCGAATCAAACCTGGGTTGATGAAGCATTGTAATATTCGTCGACAACAGATCAAGAGTGAACCGTGATCACTGCACGTAATTTATTAGAGTGCAACGATTAATTGGCGACCCACTTATAGATTCTAGATAGCTTTATATTCCGCCGTCGTGCAGCCGGTTCCAGTTGTCTACTTCCACCGGCCCCTTCTGTATTGGGACATGTGATTTTGCACAAAGGCAATAAAATCCTTGCTATTGGCCCCAAGTGTGAAAAGATATGATAGGTATGGGTAATAGTTGTTGTATTAGTTGAGTTGTTCACATCCAACAGAGGTTGGATGGTCAAAGATATATACATGATGTGGAGAAGCGCTCCACTTATTCCTACATTTTGACACCAAGCAGAATGCAACCGAAGTTAGGTGTGGGGATGGCGAGTTGCGAAATCAAGGAAGTCTCATCTATGGCGATGCCGTGAATGGTAATGAGAACTAGCAACGTCTTCCTGCTCACCGTATGACTAGGATTTTGCCAAAGCACATCCGTCATCTTGGATTGGTTGGCATTCTTGACTAGTCCCATAAAATTTGTCAGTCACTGGCCGTCTACTACAGCATTATCCAGGTCCATCATTACACAGGAACACTGCAGAATCTTACACCGGAGCAATTATGATGATCCCAAGTGATTGGATTACCCGGAAGCGAATAGCAGAGACGGGAGCCGTGGATTAGCGATGCTCGAGCTGAAGAAAATCAAGTTAGATGTTCTCATAAAACAAAATTCCGTCACATACGACCATAGGTACTAGAGAACTCGGCATCCCGTCCGCTCTGCCCTAGATAAACTGGTGACCGCCGGATTAGTACTCAGATCGGTGACGGCTGGGGAATCCCTGGTGTTGTATGTTTTTGCATTTTAGTTACTTATGTTTTTATTTTTGCGAATCCAAAACTGTAACTGGTACACGCAAAGTTAAGAGCCGAAAGACATATAACATTAAATCTGCGACATGGTACGTAGCCCATTTGTATCCAAGGTAGTAGCCGAGCTACCAGAGTGGAGCTTCACTTCTTGACAGTGATAAACAATACTGACATGACCTGATACGACCAGTATCTGAAATAAAGAGTGAAATTAAAGATAGTCTACATCTACGAAAATAATGTGTGAACAAACAGACTTAATCAACCCTTCCCGTTGTGTCATCCGAAGGTTGCCACACTGTTGCACATCATATCAGTTGAATAGCATCGTGTCTCGTAACCATAACCAGGTCTCTTATTATGTATTCCTCATGTGATTGCCTCCTGCATCAAATGCCCATCTCCCTGATCATCCGCTCGTCGCTGGGCGCCCAGGCCATGTTTGGCAGTTCATCCACACTCAAGATCAGCCCCTCTTGCTCAAACCCGCCACGTACAATGGTTGTGCCGGGAGCACTCGTGAAAAGCACTTTGACTGTGGCAGGGACATCTTTGACTAGGCGCAGGATACCGAGAAATACTCGTCGAGCGTCCGACCAGAACTCGTCGCGCTCGAACAAATACACGCCGTCAATTATGAAGAACACAGTCAGGGTCTGGGGAATGCGCCGAACAAGCCAGATGAGTAGTTTTAGTAGCTCATCGATGGACTGGTGGGAACCTTGCAGGAGATCAAGATTGATCTCAGTCTGTGGATCCCACGGATGAAATACGTGTTGCCGCAGAATTTGATCAATGAGACTCGCCAGCATGGCGCGCTCACCGATGCAGCCGCCCGCGTCGCTCCGGTCAAAGTGACGTCCGCAGAACCAAAGTGCCGAGATGAATCGGGGCCTGGCTCGTAAGGCCTGCGCCATGGTTGTGCAGAACACAGTCAGGGGCGATATCCCAGCAATAGAATCGGCTCGAGGGTTGTCCCACTCGACAAGTAACTTTGCTGAAGCTGTGGACACGGCCCATTGCTCAAACAGCGTTGAGGATACAATCTGCTCTGCTCGTGCTCTTTGTTTGTGAGACATTTCTTCTTTTCTGTCGTTGACGAGTGAGATGTCCCGAAGGTCGACGTCCATGGAGCTAATCATGTGGCGCAAGGTATTCTGATCAGGAAGCTGGGCCTGGAGTGGTACAGGCCACGGAGTTCCCGGAAGTGGCGATGGTGTGCGCAATGCAATTTCTTTGTAATACAAGGTCTCGTGCCGAGAAGCCTCGAGGGCTTGCCTAGAAGCCTCGAGCTCGCCTTTTAACCACGTTTTTGTGTCAGAATACTTTCCAAAGATGGAAGAATAAGCTAGATGCTTACGATCTTTTCTCTCGATGTGGATTGTAAACAAGTCGTTCATTGAACTCAGTCCGGAGGCCATAAACCCTAGCTTTTCCACCGCGTAATTGTGAAAAGACTGTGTCTGTTTCCATCCTGAAATGAAAGTTAGAAAAGTAATTGATAGAGACCATGCTTTCTTACGCATATCCTGCTGGAACATGTATGACTTGGAAGCCTCATCCATGAGACTATTGCTTTTGCTCTCGATCGTGTTGACGCTGTCCCGAAGATCCTTCCCGTAATCATCACCGCCGAAGAGCGCCTTAAGGCCTCTCTTGACTATGTTTTGCCACGTAATTATAAGTACTAGATCTTCTGAACTGATTCCGAGTCAGGCTCACCAGAATTACTGAGGAAAAACACAATCGCTTGCTCGACTGCTTTGAGGATTATGATGGTTAGATCTGTAGACGCCTCTATTATGTTTTGATCGCCTGGGAAAAGACTCAGGAAAAGTTCAACTGGCGAGAAAACGTCCAAAATGTCATCGAAAGAATGAAGAGCCTCCCCCCTAACTTGAGCCGATTTGTTTGTAGCCTGTGAACAAAGAAATTAGCAGCCAAGGGGGTTTCTAAACCGAAAAGAATCAAGGGCGGAAGCAAACGTACATTGACGATGACCTTCACTGTGCCTACGATTGGCGTGGCGTAGGTGCTATCCGGAACTAGAGTGTCAACAACTTTGATCAAGTCGGATACAGGGGCGGACTTGTCAGCAAGCTTGCGTCGTATCCTCGACATTTGTCCCAGAGGTCCTTTCACATCCTGATATTTATTCTTGGCCGCTTCGAGAGTGTCATGAATATCCTGCCACCCTTGTTTCCCCCGGATGCTGAAGCCCGCATCAGACAATCCTTTCGGTTCATCGCTACTTCCACAGAGCAGGCTAAGGGCGTCAGGCAAAATCGTGCTCCAGAATTTCATAGAATGTATATTCGTGATTGCTTCTCTGGGAACGAGCTGCTCACCCTGGCGGCCTAGAAACCCCGGCTCACCTTGTGGAAGAGCAACGGACATGGTCGAGATAGTGGGAATGGGAATTGCCACCTGTAAGCCAGAATCAAGCGACAAATTATTGGATGCTAGTACTAGAGCTTGGTTGTTCGGGATATACTTTCCGGAAGCCGGGTCGAAACTGAGCGGCGGCTGGTCAAAAGCCGGATGCTGCGCCGGCATACGATGATCGATAAAGTCTGTCGTCGTCTTGCGGCTGATGCCGCATGGCGTAAAGTCGATTTCTTTCGTTGTCATTGCGATACAGCCTGTCTGGCGGGGTTCGGTTGAAACTTCAAAGAGGAACTCGAACGCGAGGCTCGGAGAAGCTCAGATTTGAGTCTTTCGAGACGACGGGCGATCATCTCTTCCTAATGCAGACAACCGACGTCGTACTGCATCAATAAATGCCACAACTCTTGAAATCATTGGCAGTCGTGCCTCTTTGCTCAGCCCCGATGCAACATGGGTGCATCTTCCAATCCCAGAACGCGAGGCTCTGACCCCTCTCCATGATGCAAAAGTCAACGAAAAGCGTGGCCCACTTCTCGAATATTGGGATTCTCCTTCAAAATCGAAGTGACGAATCTCACGATTGTCTTCATCCTTGGTAATCGAAGCTCTGTCTCGCGCAAAAGCTGTACCTGATAGCATCGGTATGGAGGACACCAATCCAAGGGCATCTGGATCCGATATGGGCCCAGTAAAAGAGGATGCCCTACCTACAGAACCCCTCGATACCCCGCGTTCCCCCAGTACGGAAGAAAAGCCTGGGGCAATCGCACCGACGTTCCTGTTGAACGAAATCGAAGCGCTGAAGGAGAAGCTATCACTCTTGGAGCAGCTGGCTCTAGATTCTCGCGTTGCTGGAAAAGAAGATTTTTCGCAACCAAGGCGCGCTTCAGATGTCGGTCCGGTCCAGCTTCAAGCCAATCGGAAGGCAGAACTCCGAGACTACCGCCGCAGAGCACAATGCCTCTACGGCCATCGAAAAGAGTTTGAAGCTGACGGGGGGCCTGGCGATTGGAGGTATCATAGTTTCTACTCCTCATACGGAGCTGATGGCAAAAAGGATACCGATCACTGGTAATATCTTTGTACACTTCCCTGTTTTTATCATATGTTGCTAACCCACCGAAAGGGGGATGGCCACCAAAAATAAGTACCAACGGCCAGATCCTTTTGACCCCTCACACCAATGCGATATGAATCCAGATATCTTCGCACATGAAACCCCGGATATATTCGATCAGACCATCGATTTTGGTGCGCGGCGCGAGCGTTTGCGCCGTAATTTCGAGTGGGACTTGGATCGGATCTACCATGCTGAAGAAACTCAAAAGCGAATCCGCGAGAAGGAAGCCGACACTGCAGCAGAGCGTAGACGCGCCGAAGCCATTGCAAAAGCTGCTGGGTCAGGCTCCGGGCAGAAGAGCATGAGTCCATCGAAAAGGACGGGCACTGGCAGTGGTGTCGGAGCTACCGAAACAGCAAGCCACGGATCTTTGGCATCGGAGACGAGCCCCGAAAGCCAATTGAAACGATTGGATTGGCTCGCTTTTCGCACGAAACCTTCGGTGACACAAGATGGTGTATGTTGCATTGATGTCCTGGTAGGTGAGCCTGCCATCGCCAACACTCAGGACTCGTGGTACGGCTTCTCTTCAGAGAGTATCCGCAAAGTCCCGGAGACTAGAAACCAGCTATTTCAGGATCTGACAAACTCTGGAAATCGCCCAGTACCTGAAAGGATCAGGATTTACTCCCCATTGCTGCAGTCAATTCTTTCCAAGGTTCTTGGGCATCCTGTGCTTGTGGGCGAGGACTTAGACTTCGTTCTTCTTCGCCCTTTCAAAGCACTTGTATATCGCGAAGAAGCTTTGCGCGATTGGCTTTTGGCCCTGGAAAGGAAGTTTGGCGGTGCTAAGAATGACACGCACACAACTCAGACAAGCAGAACTGCTGATGCTGAACTAAAAGCTCCGTCGGAATTAGAGACAGGTGCTACAAGACCTCAAAGCGCTGTGGCCGATTCAGTATCTCCACAGACAGAAGATCCCACAATGGAGCCTGCAACGAAGAATTCCGACGTGGACCACAACGGGATCAAGAACATCGACCAGAAGGAGAGGGGCGATGATAATGAGGGGGAAGTAGAAGAAACCCAATCTGAGGGGGCCATGGACCATTTGCGAATATTACTGCAATTCATCGACTCGGAAATTGTGCCCAGACGCCGTCATCTCGAAAGCTCGAGCTGCAAAAACGTAGATTTCTCAGACTTGTGGTACCTTTTCCGACCGGGCATGGAAGTTATCGGAAACGATGGTAAGCAAGTCTATCGTGTCGTGAAGGTGTCGAGTGCCCGCCACCGGGTTGTCTCAGCCTGGGAAATGTACTGGTCGGGAGACAAGGAAAAAGACGAGAAGAAAAATCAGCCACCATTCAGCATAAAATGCGTGTTTGTTGACTTCAATGGCACCTCGCTGGGCCCAGTCAGCATCGACTTCAGTTTTCCAAGGTTCATCGGAGAAAGAGAAGTGACCTCATTCGCGGTATATCCACTTCGTTTCCACCCCCACAGACGATCTGACTTCAGCGATTCTGAATGGCGAGCTGTGTCTAGTTTGCCCGAGGATCAGAGGCTGAAGACGAAGCTCGTTCTCCGAGGCAAGAAATTCTTAGAAGTTGCCAATGTGAGGCAAATGTATTAGTATGTACTCCCTTATTCCTTCTTGTCTTTTGTTTGTGCGTTCGATGCTAGCCAGTGTAAAACTTTCTGTTATGAGTCGATAGCTGACCATCTCTCTTCATAGTGCCGGTCCGACGATCGATGTGCGTGATGAAGTTGAGAGCCAGGTCGTTGTGGACTTTGAAACCGCGTTTTCAACAGAAGATCGAAAAGACTGGAAACCAGAGCTGGAACTGTTGATGGGTAGTCAAGATGATGAGGACGACGACAAAAGACCCTGCAACGCGGCATGCTGCATGGGCCAAAACGTGCATGATGATCAGTACGTCGACGAAAGCCAGAAAACAGAGTACATCAATCACCTATTCCCCCACAGCCCAGGCATCGACACAGAACCTTCAGTGGCCATCATTCCTAGATCACTGGGTGAGATTCAAACCGGCCCCGGCTCGAAGACTGGTTGTCAGATTCCCGACGAAGATCTACTCATCATGTCTTATCGTGTATTTGCGTTCGTACTCCGAAGTCGCAAATGGGGTATGTCAATTTGTTTTGCAGTTCAGTATTACTTTGACTGACGTACTTCAATCCAGCTCAACTCGATCTCACCTACATAACTGATTTGTATACACCTGATCCCGAAGATATCGGGCTTTCCGATATCGAGCCTCCCCGTGTCGATCATGTTGCAGACGACACGAGTCGAAAAACAGCTTTTGACCAACTTGTACTTGAGAAGGGGTACAAAAAGATGATCTTGTCTCTAACTGCCCAACATTTCCGGGACAAGGAGTCTGCGGTAGGAGCCACGAAACAAGTCGACATCGTCAAAGGCAAAGGTATTCAGGTGCAAGTTCGTCAACTTTGGCATTCGCTAAATATATCCTAGGCAAGGGACTCATCATCCTTCTTCACGGCGCTCCTGGAGTCGGCAAGACTTCTACGGCTGGTTCGTGGAATATTTCCCTTTGTCGCATGATTGCTGTTGTCCTTGCTGATTGTCCATCATGCGAATAGAGGGTGTTGCCGAGGTTTTCAAAAGGCCGTTATTCCAGATTACTTGCGGTCAGTCAGCCGTCCTACACCAAAGGTTCTGAACTGATGAAGTAGGTGACCTTGGTACCACTGCGAAAGAGGTCGAGGCCGCGCTCGAAACGAACTTCACTCTAGCTAACAAGTGGGGATGTATTCTTCTTCTGGACGAAGCAGATGTTTTCCTGGCACAGCGGACAAAAGAGGACTTTGTACGAAATGGCCTAGTAGCAGGTGAGCCACTGGAAATCATGACATATGCCGATGACTTCTGACCAAACATCACAGTTTTTCTGCGTGTCATGGAGTACTACAGTGGAGTTCTCTTTCTCACGACAAACCGAGTTGGTGATTTCGACGAAGCTTTCACATCCCGCATTCACGTCAGCCTCTATTATCCCGAGCTGGACCAGAAGAAGATACTTGATGTATTCCAGATCAATTTGAACATGATCAAGGACCGCTTCAAAAGGGCGAAGCGGGAGATTCTTATGGATCACTTTGAAATAGGTGGCTTCGCGACGCAGCATTCAGTACAAGCGAAGTGGAATGGCCGACAGATCCGTAACGCATGCCAGACTGCCCTCGCGCTTGCCGAGTATGAGGCACAGGGCAGCTCGTACGACCAAATTCTGAAACCAAACCGTCCGGACGCAGTCGTCGAGCTCAAAGTCAAGCATTTCGAGGAAGTTCAAAGGGCCTACATGGAGTTCACCAAATATATCAACGAATTGTACGGCAACAACGCGGACCGCCGGGCAAAAGAGCATAGGATTCGTGCTCTGATAGATGAAATAAGCGTTGTGGCGAGTAAGGAGGCGTTTGGGGCAACGGCCAACGCTCCGTCGCCGGCGCCAGCTACAGCTCAGGGCTCGTTTCCACCAGCTTATCAAACAGCACCTGGGTATCAACAACCGCCCGTTGGAATGCAGCCCAACTACTATGCCCAGCCCGCAGGCGTAGCCAATTCATACAATCCTCAAGGTCACCAGCAGCAGTATTCGGGGCACGTGGCATTCAACCCAGCGATGATGGGCAACAGCGGGCCGCCGAACGCCGGAGGCATTCAAAATGCTGGTATGCAACACCCGCCGCGATCCCAGCAGTCTGAGAACAACCAGCAACAGCCCTGGATGACTCAACAGCCTCAGACTCAACAGCCTCAGGGGGTGCATGGCCCCGCGCAGCCGGTCGGAGGGTATCAGATGCCATCGGGGACGGGATCCAGGGAGGGATTCTCGGCGGGTCAGTGGCCACAAGGAGCGCCGAACACAACTTGAGTGAGGGCGGTGCGGATCTGGAATCAAGTCTAGGTTAGCAAAGTAAAAGGCCACAAGTGATACTCTCCTTTATCAAGTCAGTTTTATTTTTGATACAATTCTTTTCTCCTGTTGAATTTAATAGAACAGCCGCAATTGACGACTTTTATTTACCAAATTGCCTTCTCCTAAACAAGACGCTCTTATAGAGTAATCTGTACAGCGTGTGCTCTGAACTCGCAGAGCATTTCAGGCTCGTGGCGACGGCGAGTGCGCAGGTGCTGGACCGGGAAGCGGGTGCAGCCTAGAAATGCTATTCTTCGGGGGATTCGAATCTCGGCTGAATTCATTGACCTTTTAGAACAACGGCAACCGATACCTCTGATCATCCTCGCTCATTGGGCTGTTCTGCTAAATTATGATCGAAATTTCTGGGTTTTCGTCGACGGTGGTGATATGACAAAGCCTCTCCCAGCCTACCTTGGTTCTTATTGGAACGATTAGCTAAAACTCCCTCGAACGTTCTTGCACGAGATTGATGCTATTAATTATTTCTCCAGGCTAACTTATATGGGGTGGACAGTATTCCATTCATGCTTCTACACCACGGTTATCATATTAGCTTGTTACCTCTTCCTGACCAGACAGATTCAATCGCCGAGAGACCTTGCTCCAACCAATCTTGCAAGTACGAGCCGAGATTTCTAGAGATTAATCGCTCAAGTAAAGCTCCGCTGCTTGTGAAAATCCAGAACTCGCTACAAGAACGGAGCACGGTGGCGTAACGTGCAAGGAGAAGAAGTGCCGCAGGTTAGCATTGCTCTATGAGGTCAATGAAGGAATTTGAGATCAATGCCGGCCAAGCCAGGGAGAGATGCACTATGTGCCCGTGTATCTGTCGCCTCAATTCGGATGTCCGCTGTAGGCGCTTGATTGCGTCTCTCCATGCTTCCATATCTGTCGGGTCTAGACCGGTTGTCTCAAGACTACGAAGCAGCGCGTCATAGTCATTTCCGCAACCACCTGGCTGCATGAAATCAAGCTATTATCTCTTCCAAAAGATGGTTCAATCACATACGACCATAGCTCTTAGAAAACTCGGCATCCCGTCCGCTCTGCCCTAGATAAACTGAGAAGCGCCGGATTAGTACTCAGATCGGTGACGGCTGGGGAATCCCCGGTGTTGTATGTTTTGCTTTCCTTTTTTTTTTTAAACAGTTTTGCCAGTTATTTATTGCTATAGCATCCTTACACAGTGTTATTACAGATACTATGTGGCACCGGTCACGTCCCGTGGGCATATAGGTCCTAGTTCGTGACCGTTTCCCAACAATTGCGAGCATGCTCTTTACCTCTTCGTCTCTTCGTACAATGGTAGCGTATGCCCTGACATAATATTAAATTAAATCGCGGTTCATTACGATAACGACGTCATAATAATTACGGAAAACCCGGGAGCAACACGCGATTTTATGTAATTAAAATAACATTGTTTAAATAATAATATTCTATTAATTTCAATTAATTTACAGCGTTATAATTGCGAAATTATATGATATTCCATATTTTGCTAATTCGCGTATCCAGCTCGATTAGGCGTCCAGCTCGCTTATGGACTACGTTATTTATTCAATATTGAAGCACCGACCCCGCACAATAAGATAATAAGCAGCTGGAGAACGTCTAGTACCCGCCACTTTATATCACAGACTCTATAATATCAGTCAAATACAAGGACCTCCTCTTTCCCCAACCCACTCTATGATAGCGCCATGCAACCAATTCAGTCCAGCACAGCGGCGCGTCATTCTAGAGTTTCACGAAAGTATCGAGCAAGGTATAGCTTGACATATTTCCTGTAAGTCAGGAACATGATGGTCAACGCAACTGCTGTCGGAGGGTTTACTGGGGAAGCCCTTTTCGACGCCAACGAGCAGGGAGAAATAGAGGAGTGACAGCATCTTAGAACCCGTACAGAGACAGGCGTAAAGAGAGTGCGCGAGGCATGGGATTCGGGCACCAGAAAATGCTTTCTCGCATCGATACATAAGCTTGTCTGCTTTGGCGGACAGTCGCTTGCACTTGGTCAGATTCTTCAACCTGTTATCAGACACTTCATCCGAAGTTTTGACAAACCTGTATGCGCCGATGCACGAGACTTCTGGAATCAAATTTGCAACGTCGACCGCAAGAAAAACGCTTTGACAGGATGGATCACCGCATTTTGCTTTTGGGACAATGAAGGACATCACGAGGTCCATCCGCACAGACATGGTGTGTCCCTAGACAACGTAGACTACGGGTTTGTGGACGTAGATGCGTTACCAAACAGGGTTGCGAAAGTCTAGATCCGCATCCAAGATGGTGGAAATGAAGTTAATGCAGAAATGCTTGCCGGGTCGATACCTAGGTATGTATCAATTATCTGAGTAGTGGCAAAGAGTCCGCAAATAGGATGTCTGGTTTGGACATCTTGCAGCCTTTTACCAGTTGGTTTATATATGAAAAAGCATAGAAATCTCAAATTCCGAGATACGATTGATTGCTTTTCGCACTTTTTTGTCGTAAAGGGTGAGATTACCCAATGCCTACCCAGGTGCCGGCCTATCGGGGACCTCAAGAAGATATGGTTAGATCCTGATCAATTTCATCAGTCAAATTAGCTTTAGACATTTTTCCCAGTCAATCTAGCATGAGATGGACTTCTAGTATCGCCAGTACCAAATATTTGATTAGAACAAATGATTTGAATTCAGAGTATCTAAACCCCTATCTAGGTAGTCAATAACTATGTTAGTTATCGGTGTTCTTTCGGCATTTTTCGATATAATTGATGGATTTCACCCCTTGTTCCAGCCCGTGGATGAACATATGAAGAGAATTGATAGACATGACTTTGAAGCGATATCTCCACATGTGCAACCATCTCCACACTGCAACGTTGCACTGTGCATATATGCACGATGCAACCTATGGCGATAGCAACCTCGCGACTCAGTCCTGTGCCAACGGGTAGACCAAAATATCCTTTAATGGGCTCAATGAACTCAGCATTTCATGCTAGATTGATTTGCTACAGCCTACACATACAAAGAAACACATCACGACACTGTTATATACCATCAATCTCTCGCACAACATGATCCCAATGGTGGCCGCTGATTCCGTAGCCGACTTGCCAAGCTTTACAAACTACTGGAATGTCACGCCTCCACTCAACTACAGCGATGCATTATACGCTGGCTGGCCCCAGTTGCCTACCCTATCTGACATTGAAGTGTATAATGGAGTTGCCCACGGACGCACATACGCACACCATCCTGAAATCTATGCCCGCAACAACTCCGTCTACCTAATACACTCGTCCGCTCTGATCGACGAAGACAGCATGGGCCAGCAGATCTGGCTGACCACCTCACAAGATGGAGGCTTCACATGGAGCCCTTCAGCGGAAATCCTACCATCGGCCTTGCTCCCCAACCAGTCTGCCGAGCTGAACTTTAGCTACTGGTGTAATGAGGGAATCCAGCAGCGAGCGCTAGGCGGCCTGACCATCCTTGACTACAACGAGACGCTCTTTGCCATTGGCGAGACCACGAACTTTTGGTGCGCCGGCGCTCTGGGTAGCGGGAATCACGGCGCCGGTCGCGTTGCGCGACCAATCAGCTACGATGGCTCAATCGCCGGTGACCCTTGCTGGGTAGAGAAGACCAACTGGACAGACTACGTTGGCTACCCCGGTACTGTGTACGGGTCCAAGTACGGGATGAAGTACTGCGAAGATGCGGCAGCACTGAGAGAGATTTTACAGAAACCAGATCACGTACCTGCCTGGAGTGCATGGCTCTACAACGGCAACATGTACACCGAGAATGGCGTCAACTACATGCAGGAAAACACCTTTGCAGTGTGGGTCGAGGAACTGGGCGTCTGGCAGCGGTTTTGGCGTGACATTACGGCTGTCAACAACACGATGAAGATATGGGTAGAATATTCCTCCACGGGGCTGGACTGGTATCCCGTCTCCGAGCACCGATATGGCAACCGCATTCTAGAGACTAATATTCCTGATGCCAAGACGAAACAGTTCTTGTTGGATATTACCGGCCCAGAGGATGACAAGACACATGTTCTGATTTCAAATCCGAGGAATAATACCGAGCTGGTAAGGCAGCCCTTGTCGATCGCCACGGCGCGAGGTCTAGGTTTGCAGCAATATCGGGGTGTTGGTGTTCTCAGAACCAACGCGAGTGAGCAAATCGCTCCTGATACCCGAGACTACAAGAATCGAGGTTTCAGCTACCCAGCGGCGGTGAGAGTGGGGGACAATCTAGTCGTCGCGTATAGTGAGAACAAGGAGAACATATGGGTCAGTATGATAAGGATTGAGAATCTTCCGTGATTATAAGTTACAGAGCAATAAAGTGTGCAATGAAAGGATACATTGCGAGTAGCCAGTAGAGCCAAATATTGTCACTTTGGGCCGATGTGGCTCTTTAAATTAGCCAGGATATTTCAACGAGCGTGGCAAACATCTCGGCTGCCATTTCCGACCGTATGCTCTCGGGACCTCGTACAGCGAAGATCACAGGCCGCGTATTGACGCAAGTGACTTTTATCAGCGTACAATGGAGTTGGATATCCTTGCCGGTAGCGCTGGTTGTGGTGTCCTGCCCTTTTTCTTGCCGCAGTCATGCTGCTTACCTAGGGTTACACCGGGCCCAAAAGTTGATCTTAGAAATCGTCCCTAGCGCCACTTTTGATGACCGAGTTATCATATCCTTTAGCAGTGGCTCATCAATGGTCAGCATGGAGCCAGGTGCAGCTGAAGGCAAGGACAGTAGAGATTATGAACCATCTAACGAAATGAGGAATTGGACTGGAATGATTTTAGCCGTGACCAGCAATGGATAAACCCCCGCACGCAGCACTTCCACACCCACGGGCCATGACTACATATTCACTGTGCTACACTGTTGAAATGACCTAGGATGAACAGGAAGCAAAAGAAAAAGCTCAGGAGCAAAAATACACAAGTCCGGGGATTCCCCAGCTGTCAACCATTTGAGAACCAATCTGGCGGTTTAAGCATATATCTACCCGGCGAAAGTGGACTCTCGTCACTTCCGGTGATACGGCAGACGGTAACCCACAGCTCGCTTTTATTCCAGGGGCAGCTACAGGTAATCGAGCGTCATGCGAGAGTTGTAATTACGCTCGCTTAAGCTGGCGAAGTATCGTCTTTTTCTCCAATCAGATTAATGAACGTGGTCGTTTCGTACTAACAGTGAAACAATACATTATGCAAGGAGAGAAAGTGCCAAGAGCTCAGCCTACTTCGACAAGCTGCCCGACCAACGCCACTGTAAGGCCCCAGAGGGCCGTGGAAGTACAGGTACACGTGCGATCACGGGAAATAAACGAAGTGGGCCAAAATAGTGAATGAATCTACCAAAGCTATAGTCACGAAGAGTGCTGATCTGGCTGATCTGGCTGATCTGTCAATCTACGCTGGGGCACTGAATCTATGGAAAAGTGGGCTGTAGAAGTAAGAAGGCGGGAAAACCGTAGTAACTATGAGATGCTGTACAACTATTAAGCATAGTACGCCACCCTATCTGCAACGTTTCTTGCTTTATTTCGCATTCGTCTCAGTCGCACAAGGGAAGTCAATGGCACAGCTTTTGCAGCCGCACCATTATCTACCTGGGTACCTAACTAGTACTTATTCTGGGCGCCCGCACTTTCCCCAAGCCGAACCAACTTATCGATCTGCTTCGCTAGTCCGTTCCTAGGAAGTAGCCTGTTTCGCCATTACAACAACATCCGGCAATCGGATCTGCCAACACCATACCCCTTCAACCAAATATCGCCATCCGTTTATGTTGGACAGAGGTCGATAAAGTACTAGGTACGAGTCCTTGTCTTACTAGATTTCAATTATGGAGAAGGCATACTCCAGGTAAGTAAACATTGTGTGTGTTACGGCAACATAAATTGAAATCATTCCAGACACGATGGCCAAATGACTCGATTTGAGGAGGCGTCACGCATCGCTAAGCACCTAGGCTTGAGACAACCAAATCAGGATGATGAATGCTATTTCCACTCATTACTAGCAAGTAAAACAAACGCCGAAATTTTGCAGAGGTGTAACGAAACTTTGCTGAACCTAGAGGAACGAGCGCGAGCTTGTCAGGGGGACCACGACTCTCACGCAGATCAGGCTCTCACAAAGTTGATATTCAGGACAGAAACAAGCGAAGGCGGACACTTGATGCAGTCTTGGTCAGGGAAAAGGCTTTGTGTATTCATAAGCGATGGCGCAGGTCAACAGGAGACCTGGACCTTGATTCGTGAGTTGAAGCTGACTATACGAAAAGCGTCCAGTGACGGCGAGATAGAGGTCACTGTAATCGCTGGCAAGGAGATAATAGCGAGAATTCTCTACGACAAGGGTTTCGTGTTATTGCGTTGTCAAGGCCGGGCTGGTCTGGCGCTAGAATTACTCACTGCTGCGACGCAGGATGACGGAGAAGACAGCGAGCTCGACAACGCTACAGGGGGCACGGATCACACCGACAGCTTCGACACAGCCAGAAGCATATTGAGCACCATGATCGGGATAGCTACTGTGTCCAACTTGATCGACCGCGGCGTTAGAGCTAGCATTCCCTCAGGAGCTAGTCATTGGCTGCCGCGAGAAATGTTAGACAGTGTTGTCAACCTCACTGCACTTACCAGATGCGAGGATGGTTTCATCGATCTACGGCAGTCAGGCCTCGAGTACTATGTGAGGCCTGTACGACCTGTATATCTGGATCTACTGTGTCCAGCTTGTTGGGTTACTACCAACTCATCTAAGCGACAGATGGCACAAGATCGGTCGTTCATCGCACCACTGCGCTTAATGCCACTTTCTAAAGAAAAAAAAGAATATACGGCGGTCTCATACCTGTGGAGCGAGTTTAAGGGTGACGATACCCTGAAAGATATGCAAAAGTCCGCAGCTGCGGTCGGAGCCCCAACCAGTTTGTGGGTCGACAGAGTTTGCATCAACCAAAACGACCCCGCTGAGAAAGCCTTGGAGATTTCTCGCATGGGATCGTATTATGCTGGCGCACATACAACTCTTATTTACCCTGCCAGCAAGGTCGTTGATATCCCTAAAGTCAAACTTAATAGACATTTAGTGGCCATACCAGAACAATTGCGCAAACATCACGGCCTACGGATGTGGAAGCAGGACACCTGGCACGACAGAGTATGGACTTATCAGGAGGGCGCTCTAAGTAGAAACCCTCAGGTTTTTGCCGCTGAGATGAACACCGGGCTAAGTGCAAGCTGGTTGAATTTCATGTCCTGGGCCGCGGAATACGAAGAGCCAATCAAGTGCGACGTTGCCTTACCACCATACTACTCAGTCCGCTTCAACCGGCCATGGGGAGAATGCACCGAAGAAGAAAGATGGTCATATAGACATACCTTCCAGCGATCATGGACAGCATGCAGCCGCCATAACTGGGAACCAAGTGCCAACAGTATCAAAGTACCTCTGGCCACGTTGATGGACCGCACGCAGCTGAGAAAGTGCAGTGAGCCGCGCGACAAAATATTAGGTATACTTGGACTGACTGCATCGTCGGAAAGCCTGAAAATAAACATGGCCACAGATCTCAGAGGCATTTTCTGCGAGGCTATACGATGTGGCATTCTTGGAGCAGAGATTTTATTGGCTGGGCGCGAGGATCGAGGGCCAAGGTCGTGGATTCCTCGGATGGATTCCGTTGTCAGATGGAAGCCCTCCCAGATCTCACAAATCGGGTACATTTGCAAAGCGGAGCAACCTAGCGTTGATGACGATGGAAACCTGACCTTGAGAGCATGTGAAATCAAAGTAGAAGAGAGACATGTGGAGAAAGGCCCTCAAGAAGATGATGTTTTGGGCGGTTATCATCAGCTTGAGTTCACAGACTTTTCCGGGCAAGTGGGGGGCCTTCTGTGCATGAGATATCGGCCACATATCCGAGGAAAGGCATTTATACTGAAACCCAGCGAAGACGCCCAAGAACGGGACTTCGGGAAACAAATTCTAGTATTTGCCACGGAAGTAGGAGAAGGAAGGTATGTTTTAGAAAGTGCCTGCGGTTTCAAGTTCGGAGATATGTGGGAACAGGGCGAGTTGGATCCAACGGTACAAGTCTTTCAACATCTCTGTTTAAGCGCATAACAAGATTTTCCATTATTTAGGTACGCATTTCTCACCTGAGCCGATGTGGGAAGGGGGAACTGAAGAAGATGATCGAGGAAGCATTAAAAGATGTCTTAGTTAATCTCTAGTCTACAAAAGAGAGGTGCTAAAGAGCGAACTATATACCCACATTGTCCTCTCTACTAGCCTCCGTGTTTCGATTTATCCGCCCGCTACCTCACGGATACGAACCAGGCTACCTTGACGTATCGAACATATTCCAGTCTTCAACGCCAAAGATCTCAGGTCACTCAAGGTTGACATCATCATTGCTGGCGGCATTTGTGAATTGTTCATACGTGTGCTACGGAATGTCACTAAGTACCATCTCTAGGGGGAACGGCAGCGTGTTTCATCGCATCCAGGCTGGCCGATGCCGCGCCCGAGCTCTCCATTCTAGTGGTTTAGAGTGGCCGCGATAACTACAAAGCATCGAATGTCATCTACCCTGCCCTAAGGCGGCAGAACCAGTTGCCTAATAACTCCAGAATACTCTTCCACAAGGCCGTCAAGGAAAGCCAACTCGGGGATAGAGAATCCATGATCCAAGTTGGGAACACGCTTGGAGCTGGCTCGTCCATCAACCTGATGATATACATCAGAGCTCAGCAGCGCGACTTTGACTCGTGGAACATGGAGGACTGGACAGGTGACGATCTGCCGCCTTATCTACGACCGAATATCCTGGTCACAGTTCATCAAGATCCCGGTGACCTGTTCAGCCAGCCTCGCCAGTGGATTTGGTCTACTAGGTATGCATGGGCCAGCTGCATCCCCATGAATGCAGGGAACTTTGGGCTCCAGGCAAGGTATAACCGCTCAAAGTACCGGTGACTACAGCCCTTTACCAGAGGAGGCTTGTAATACCATCCTTTTTCACCACTCTTCTAAAACCCTACATCACCGCTATATAGTAGCACTACTGAGCGATGCTTCTCACTGGCATTAAACCATTCATTGCAATGCTCTGAATCACGCCCAATAGACTTTGACGCGTGCTTTGACATGCCATCCTACCAGCTTCACTTCCACAGAGCTGCGAGCTCACCGAACCAGAGTCTACCACATCGCGTTTAAACTACTCCAATGAGCAGCTAGCCCCTTACACCAGAGATCAACCAAGTCAAGTGCGACACAGTCTACTGCCGTTATCCTCCGCCCAACTTTCGCTGCCCACGGCTGTTGCAGCGTAGAAAACACCACATGGGTCATACTTTCGCTTGATCTGGAGTAGTCGGCTATAGTGGTCGCCATAGAAAGTCGACTGGAAATTAGGCTGATGCACATCGCCTTCATTTAGATAGGCACCGCCACCTGGAGTAAGCGCCTCTAGCTTCGGTAGCAAGTCATTCGTAATGCTGTTCATGTTGTCCAAAGTAGCAGGCCAATCCAAATAACGAATGGGGGTTTCGATGGCAGCGTTGAAGAGCGCTTCTCTAAATGCAGGGTTTGCGGCAACGTCATCGGGTGACGAGACGCCGCCTTTGACGTTGAACGCGTTTCCGATAAAGACATTGCCACTTTGCGTACTTATATACCTCATGGCCTCTACCAGATCGGCAGTGTCGTTGTTTTCTACAAGGGATCTCGGTATAAGCCGTCCTCCTAGGTTCTGGTCCGAGACGTTGAACATAATGGTGGCTGACACAGAATTAAAGGTAGTCAGGAATGTCGGATAGCTCGATGATTTGTATGTATATGCGAGTCCAAGACTATCGAGTGCATCGGTAAAGGCTCCAAGGTGAGCGTCCAGCTCCTCGGATGTTACGTCAGGGAATATGGCCGGACTGAGGAAAAACCCCTGAGAGTTGACAAGGAAGATGGCAATGGCCCCAGCGTCCGTCAGATTCGGCAACGTCTCAATAAAAGTGACCAGGGCAGAATACAAGGCGTCCTCATTCGTTCCATTGTTGAGTAGCGTCAGGTAAGCTGTCGAGAAAGAGCTGTCGGGCAAAGCTTTTACCACAACTGAAACCACGACACCAAACGTGCTGCCGCCACCGCCTCGCAGTGCCCAGAACAGATCTGCATTCTCGGTTTCGGTAGCCGTGAGAAGCTCGCCGTCGGCTGTCACTATCTCATATTCAAGCACCTGGTCAGTAGCCAGACCAAACTTGGATGACAGAGGCCCGTGACCTCCACCCTGGATATAACCACCGGCTAGACCGACTGTTGGACAGTTGCCTCCCACGACAACATAGCCCTGAGAATCTGCGAACTCATAGGCTTCAATCACCTCGGCTCCTGCGCCTATTCTTATGGCCGGTCCATTGTAATTACTGGTCTGATAATCCTGGATGAGTTCCATTGACTTGAGGTTGCGAGTCCAGAGCCCGAGAGCATGAGCACCCGTGGATTTTCCGAGATAGTCGTGGCCAGTGTTACGTATAACGAGTCGTATATTATTGTCTTTGGCGAACCGAACAGTTGCCTGGAAGTCTTCACTGCTAGTGGCATTGACCGCGTAGACGACATGAGATCCAATCGTGCAGGGTGTATCCGGGTCCAAGAAGGGGTTGCACGAGTTGTTGGAGAATGGATACGCCATGGGTGACGAAGAGGAGACCAAGTGTGTTTCCGGATAATACCACACATTGCGCAGCGCCTCGCACGCATCGGGGTCATACAGACTGCTGGACTGGCCAAATAGAGTATTGTGGCAAAAAGCGGCGATGGGTATAGTGGCGACGAGATTTCCGCCTACACTCTGGTTGAACTGATCCCATTTAGAAGAGCTGGGCCATGATGAATCACCCGGAATGGTGCGACATCTCTCGGGAGTCTCTGTGCTGCTACTGATACCGATGGCTGTGGTGAAAAGTAAGAGTGCTCGAGTAGAGGTGAACAACATGGTCGCGAACACGGTCCTCGAGGACACACGACGCAATGAAGAGTAGCAACGATGGGATGTCTACCAGCTAGTCGGTTGGCAATGGAGAAGAACAAAAAGAACCTGGGGCTAAATATGTAGCAGGTATGCGAAGTTCAAGGATTTATGATCCGAGTTGCGGCTCAAGTGACGGTCGCGACCCCATATTTACAAGGCTCCGTATCCCCCCCCCCTCCCGTGAAGCTGGAAATAAGTCACCAATTAGTTTTTACGCACAAAACATGACCTATTAAAACCAGCAAAGTGGCATGCCAAAGTAACACCACTTCCCATTGTTGGGGTACATGCATGGTGATTTGAGATTGGGGTTGTTGGATTGGAGGATACACGACCCGTCAAATCACGAAAGCTCACCAGCTTTCGTGCAAATGAAGAGTCTCACTTCCCGCCTTATGTTACACAACATCGGTCGACTCACTATGATTCATGCTTAAAAATGAATTACATGCACAAGACTTTTGGGCACGGATGGCGCGGGTTCAGACATAGTGCAATGGTCTGACTACCTGGTATGTATTTGACATCTTCTATACTACTGTGTCAAGTGTGTAAGCCTCGAGCATCTCAAATCCTACCAAGAACTAAGACATTCGCAAAGCTTGCAAGAGATGTCTTTAGGAGTAAGTATCTTGACATCTCATATAATATAAGACTGACCAACAAACGCTTGGTTATTTGCAGAGCCTGAAAGATATTTGCACTGGCGCGATGTCGACATCTTGTCCATGAGATGATTGCTGCCAAACTCAGGTCTACGAACCTGGCAAAGCCATCAGAGCTCCATGATTTGATTTAATAAGTCTTCTAGGACTCACAAAAAGAAGTAATATATATTCATTTTACAGGGTGGAAATGATCGGCCAAATCCCATATGTATGGATTTGATCCAGTAAAAGGCAAAGACAGGGGAGTGGCGGCGAACGCTGTACAAGTGGTGATGGTAATGGTTGAGTGCATGCATGATGCGAAACAACGGTTGGCCAGTCAGACCAGTCACTTGGGGTTTCCTCGCAGCAATTGGCGATTTGTTCAACCGCAGCTTCCATTCGACGCCTGCAGTTTATTTCTTTTATTTTACTCTCCAGCAGCAGTATCAATACTAGTAGATCTTATGATGGGGAAGATTATTGTGTGTGGCGATTTGAAAGAAACAATGGAAAATTGTAGTTATTGTGCATTGGGAGCAACTGCAATGCAAAGAAGCGGGCATGTCATGGCTAGACGGAACAATTGTTTCTTGGACAAAGCAAAGTATACAAGTGCTATGGGTGGTGTATGCTGACAGGGGCACTAGCCAAGGATGATTGTACTAAGCAACAAGTGGTCGAGAAGTAGGCAGCTGTCAATATATACAGGCTGTCGTGTTGGACGGCTTTTTCATCTGGAGAGTTGTAGCATAGAGCATAATAAAAGGGTTATGAACCGAGCAAAGTCAGATAATGATGTTACTAACCTAGGTTAGGTATTTTATTGACGAGGTGAGCGGCCTTGACTAGCACATGTGCAACCTCCGGCGTTGCGTCTCTGAGCTATTTCCACTACCACGATTCTAAAAAATTGTAGGTGTGTATTCATTGTCGTGTGTCGCAGATTAAACAAGACTATTTTGTGTTCATATTCTTTCGTCGACGTTTGAAATCCTTATGAAATGGCTAATCACGGCAGTTTTGAAGCGAGGTCGTTTGTTTCAATTACACAGTACATGTCCGAGGGGTAGACGCGTGCTCTAAACTCAAAAGACGCGTTTCTGCAAAACAGCTCTAGAATAGCTCCTGGCCAGCAACCCCGGATCCTGGATCTATTAGTCAACAACTCCAATTGGAAATGCAAGTCCCCAACTATGGCGGACAACTGTTTCTCCTATGATGTCTGTAAGTTGTACCTACAAAGATGAATTACGCGCGTGCATTTGAGTTGATCTGATCCGTTTCCTAGCGCGGCCCAGTCGCAAACGAGCTGCCGCTGGCGAGTCGGCGTCCCAGCCGATAGTGCTCATCGACAGCGACGAGGAGGAAGCCGCGGGGGAAGCATTCACCGTACCAGCACCTAAGCGGCACAGGGTCGAGCAATCACTTCCCGAGTTCATCCCTCTAGACATTTCCGACGACGAGAATATCTTTCACGGAGCATCCAATCTACACAGAGGTCGAGATCTCGATGCGCAAAGTGCCCCAAATGCATCCAAACACAAGCGCCCGCATCCCAGAGGTGACCAGCACAACAGCAGCCGCAATGCTCCTCTCAACCCCTCAATGGATGAGAGAATCGACAAGATGATCACAGAGTGGACGCGGGACATGTCTGCGGGTGCAAAGAAATACTACGTTGCCCTCAAGGCCCGACAGCCTGGCATATTCACAACGTGGCCCGAATGCGAGGCCCAAGTCAAGGGGATAGCGGGATGGAACGGCAAGACTATGTGTACGTACTTTCGAGACTCGTGCAGCATAATGGTGTGTTCTTTGAGCTGACGAGTATCCTGCGCAGATCGGACCTGTTCCAGCTTGCAAGAAGCCCGAAACTTTGCACGCGAGAACCTCCCAAACGTGCTCCAAGAGCAAGACAGCCGACAAGAACGCGTAAACGACCAATACAATCGACCAGAGCGGGACACAGTCCGGTCTTTCAGAGCTGAAATTTCGGTATCAAATCAGCCGAGCGAGATCTCGAATGGTCAGAACCGCTTGAAGCAAGGCCACAGCCATAGGAACGGCCACGACTTGACGCAAAGTGGTATTGCAGATAGCAGGCCAGCAATCTCGAGAGGTGGACTGTCTGCACCACAACAAAGCATCTCGGTCAAGGTCGACAGCGGCGAGCTAGGAGATGCAGACGGGAATGTCGAGTTTGACGTGGCAGATGACGAGCCCGAGCTTTGCAAAGAGCAGCAAGAAGCGGTGAACCATGCTCTCAGCGGCCGCAACGTCTTCATGACGGGCTCGGGAGGCTGCGGAAAGAGTGTCGTCGTTCGCCACCTTCTCAAAAAGTTCCGAGCCGAGGACAAGAATGTCTCCATCGTCGCGCCCACTGGTATCGCCGCATTCCAAGTTTCCGGGTCTACAACCTGTACATTCATGGGTTGGACGCAGGATACCTGCCGGGAACCTTTTGAGCAGGTGCGCAAAAACCTGTGGAAGAAGAAAACGGCAAAGCGCCTAAAGAGCACCGACGTGCTCATCATTGACGAGATCAGCATGGTCAGCAACTTTCACTTTGAACGAATGAGCCGTGCTTTTACAGAGATCAAGGGCTACCGCAATCAAGAAAATCTGGAGCCGTTTGGAGGATGCCAGGTCATTGCTGTCGGCGACTTTTGTCAGCTGCCGCCTATCAATGGTCTGGAGTTTTGCAATGATTGCGGCATGAAGATGACCAAGTCCACTGGCAGAAGTACCACTTATACTTGTCCCGAGTGTCCACGACCCATTGCATATACTGAGCAGGACAAATGGGCTTTCAAGAGTGAGGCGTGGGCAGATTGCAACTTCGCCAACGTTCACCTAACAAAGATTCACCGCCAGAGCGACGAGAAATTTGTTCAGATGCTTCAAAAGGGCCGTCTTGGCCGGAAGCTTGTGCAAGCCGAGATTGACCTGCTCATGAACCACCCATGCAATGTCGAGAATGGCGTCTGGCTGTCCTCGAGGAGGAAGGAAGTGACTGATCGTAATGAATCAGAATTCGCAAAGATCAATTCTGAGCAGTTTGACTACTGGTGCATTGATAAGTTTGACTGCGCACACGACGATCTTAGAGGTACCGTCAACCCAGTATATTGGGGCAAACCACCCATGGAGAGACGACCTCTGGATAAACTGTCAGAGCATCGCTACAGTAACTGTCTGTCTCTCAAAGTCGGCATGCCCGTCATCCTGCTCAAGAATGTCGACGTACAAGCGGGTCTATGCAACGGCAGCCAGGGTATTGTTGTCGGCTTCGAAGATTACCAGAAAGCTGCACCACCGACGCCGCCCAACGATAGCAACTACGAAGGCGACGAGGAGGGCTACAGGCGCGCCCACCGAAGATGGTCTGAAACCACGAATTTTATGAAGCATCCGGGACTGGACAAACAGGTACTGCCGGTCGTCCAATTCCACAACGGGATGCGTTGCATGATTCAGCCCGATTGCACCATATCCCAACTAAGCGCGGCTGAGGGTCGATACAGTTTACTACTTCGTACCCAAATTCCGCTTGCCCAGGGCTGGGCTCTCACGATCCATAAGAGCCAAGGAATGACTCTGGAGCGCCTTGTCGTAAATTTAGCCAGTGTATTTGAACACGGCCAGGCCTATGTCGCTCTTTCTCGAGCCACGGCACTCGAGGGTCTCAAGATCGAGGGTGGTCCCTCAGCAACAAATGCTCTTCGAAACAAGCTGGGTCCGCCACAAGAGGTCATGGAGTTTCTTCATGAAAAGTTCCCCCACATGTTTCAGAGCTGAACATCCCAAGACTCCTAGATACAAAGAGATGAGCCAAGATGGAAGAGGAAGGGCAACGCAAGTGATTGTAAAATATGGGTATCAATGTCTATCATCTATCCTTTTGGCATACTCAACCAAGAGTAGCCGACCTACAATCCGCGTAGAGCCATGGACGAGACCACCAGCAACTCGAGCTCCTTCCTCTTGGCCTCTGCGTCCTTGATACCATCGACATAGTTTACGCCATTGAGTTTGTGGTACTTGCGCAGCTTTGGCCAGTCTGTCGACTTGGCGAGTTCCTCATCGCTGATCGGCACACTCTCTCCTTGCACATGTTCTGCAAGATGCTTTTGGACATCTTCTGCCGTAATGGTATTTGGGCTGTCCTCCCTAGAAATGAGGACCTTGACTACCACGACATCTTTTGTCGAGGGTTGAATACCAAACCTCCTGTATGCTTCGGAGATCTATGTTGTGGTAAATTAGCCAAATCTCCGTCTGAAGGAGTGAGAGTGCTCATTGTATGAATAATGATGTAATGAATAGGACATGAGCAGTGAGCGTATTTTTGCTAATAAAAAAATTCCACCACCTACATTGTTATTTGAACTCAGTGAGCACACAATCTCGGAGTGCACATTGGGCGTCCGCATACTGCCCGAGATCTCAATGGTGACGGCCTTGTAAACGGCGGACAGCAGGTGGAAGCGCGAGGCCACGGTGGTGGCGTCGATAAAGGCATACTCAAAGTCTGGGTTCCGGCCCAGCAGCTGCGACTGCAGGAACTCGGCGTTGGCGACATTGCGAAAGAGCGCCGCATGCACCGTGTGCGTGCTGGGAATGTGCTCGAGGGGGATGGTTTCGAGCATTGTGATGACTTTTCAAGCGTCTTTTTTTGGGGCAGGAGATGATGGTGAGGAGTAGGACTGATGGGACTTAAGTCCTATGGGCAGTGGGTTCTTTGGTTTCTTTGCGACAATGTACAGTCGTACAAATTCAATATCGGTCTTCCCTCATCAGGGCCAGAATACGGACGAGTCACGGCCACCTAGCCACCGCTGCACCAATTGAATGCATGGCGGGGTCAAAATTTTGGAGGGGCACGGCAATAGCTTACATCGTGTTTATCGCAACTGCGCACAGCTGGTCGAGTCAGGCTTGTAGATGCGATCAAACATAGTACTTGGCTATATGCATGGAAAACAATTCATTACTATTTAGTAGGAGACTTTGCAGACTCAATACGTTTTGATATTTTCAAGGTGACTTGCATTTGTCAATACAGCTGGTCAACGGAAACCCGACGTGGTGCGTTTGCCTTCGCGAAGTCAATCAATGGAAGTACGTACCCTCCAAGTCCCAGAGTCATTAACAGCAAAATATGTTTCAAACGGCGACCACGAGATCTTCACAGCTCAGGTTGCGGCAGCTTTTAAGAATCTAGTGTCTTTATATCTTGTCATATTCATTCTTCTTGAATTACTTCATATATCCCGCGGCTCCAGAACAAATTCGGCGAAACCCAAAGGCAGTCTTCACTTCCCATTACGAAATCTTGGTGTGGGCCACATATTTCTCCCCTCTGCACGGCGCAAGGCTTTCCAGTGACATAGTTAGTGTTAAACCAGCTTTCTTCAACAGCAAATCAGCTACAGCATCTGCCCCATGGCGCAATTGGCTAGCGCGTCAGACTGTTATTCCACTTCGGAACGTCAATCTGGAGGCTCTGAGTTCGACCCTCAGTGGGGCAGCAACTTTTTGACTTTTTCCTGTATTTTTTCGAGTCTCGGGAACTTGACTTTTCCTTTTTTGACCTTTCGATGCTGCGTGCATTATTGTTGCCAGACAAGGCCAGCGATTATGGAATAGTCAAAGCTCGCAGACCTAGGGGTCTGTCTAGCACAACACTATTGAGATAAATGTCAATTTTATTAAATGTCAGACTGCCTCATTACCATTAGTTCTGTGCATGTAGAAACAAATCTCAATCTGTGGCTGGCTGATCACTGCGGCGAGCGCCCAGTACTCCACTATAGTAATGTAGCCCGATAAGATGGCTCCGAGCCACCGAGGCCGATTGAGTATAAATGGCAAGAAAAAGACATGACATGTAGCTGAAAAACATCTTTCAAATACAGTATCCCAGGACCATTCCAAGGGGTTTCTTTCTCTAGAAAGCATATACCACAAATCGTTTGCCACATATCTGAAAAGATATGTGCTACATTTGCCAGCCACCGGGCTTGAGAGCGATATTACTTCCTGACCCAGCCTGCCAATTCTGTAAGCACGGTCACAGTAGACGTCGTGTATTTGAGTAGACGACATCCTCACTGCATAATCCCAGAACACATCACGGATGATATGCTATGAGACTTCAACACGATCCGCGGCCGACTTCGGGCCCAGCCTCTCTCGGACTTGGGAAAGACATGAAAGGGCTGTTTTGTGGCCGACCTGGGTCCGCAAGCAAGTAAGGAAAATATACCTAGTTCGCTATGGATACACCGATAAAGCTCCGATATCACTATGTAATAGGATTGTTGCAAAGATCTCATAGAACATCAAACGAAAATTGAAAAGAATTGATTAAAAGTTCTCTGAAATATATTTCATGGTAGAATGCGACACGTTACTGTATAGCAATATCCTTTGTCATTTCGTGGTTGGAGGAGGGGCAATTCGGCCAAGCCACAATTCCACTTGCCCAGGTACGTTCGGCAACCTGCAATCACGCCATAGGTGACACAACTCACCTCAGGGCGAGTTTGTAGCTGACATTTGACGGTCGCTGCAATTTCAACCTAAAATTTGCTGAAATCTGAGGACATTTTGCTTGTTTGTGGCTTGAATTTGCGCGTTCTGTAACATGTATTCCTGTGGTACTATAATCGCCAAACGGCGCCGCGACGAAGACTGCGACGGGGGCCGCGGGTATAGCCACGAGAGCAGCACCAATGGGTCAGCGTGCTACAGTCCAAAATCATTACACAAAAGACATCGCGCCAGCATCATCGATATTCAAGATTATAATGGCCACATGGAAACTGCAGACGAAATGATGATGGACATATATGAACCATTATCACCGCCGTTATCCGAACCCGAGACCTTATCAATACCCACGACCAAGCAATCGAAGCCCTTTGATGCCATCCTAGCTACCACACCACTAAGCCAACACCTTCTGCCGGAAGGTTTATACAATGAAATTGGATTTCCCTCGAGCATACCCAATCTGATCTCTCATATAATTGAGCCTCGGGACCAAACCAGCATAACCCCTGGCACAACATATCGAAATGTCAAGCTTGCCATTGAGGCGATTGCCCACCATGTTGGACCACAAAGCTCATCCGAGATCAAGACCGATGCTCTCATCGTCTTGAGAGATGTTGCAGCGATAATACTTGATGCGCGACCAACGCATCAATCTCTAGAAGTCAAGGCGGCATTCGAGAGAGACGACTGCATACCTCAGCTCATGCTGCAGATACTCCAGACCATGTCGACAGAGGATATCGCGCGGTTGAGTCAAGAAACCACTCATGGAAGCAATTTTGCTTCGCTTCTGCGGGCCGCGCATGAAAAAGCTGTCGAAAATTATGTCGCTGGATTTTACGACTTTTCTCTTGTTTTGGAAGCAATAAGGTAGATACTGGGTCGACTAATTTCTAATGCTTAATAATGCGCTCATGTATTCAATTTACCATCATCAGGAACAAGCTTGTTATTCTCTTGCAGACTTGGATATTTATTTAGGCAAGCGCTGCATTTGAGAAAACTGGGTCTTGGTTTCTTTTTACACCTGCAGAGAACATGCCATCGAATTATAATAACCGCATTTTTATATACTTGTCATTTCAGGATCATAGCTGTAGTATCTGCAAAAAATAACCTTCAATCCACTTGGCATCAATCAACCCTGCCGAGCCGACCAACCCATCTGGTCTCAATATGAAGATCGCCCCCTGATCTAGAGGGACCCCAAACTTTTGATGAGCCAGGGTGGTAGGATCGTAGTATGTCGCACCAATTGGATCTGTTCCCAAAGCCTCGTATGTGGACGGAGCCACCACAGTACTGATGGTCACCCAACCTATGGCCTGGTGATCTAGGAGCTTCTTGGAGGCTTTCAACGACTCTTGCAAGTCCAAGAGGGACATCCTTGTTGAGACCACGTCTCCAGCAAAGACAACGACCCAGAACTTGCCAATGTTACGAGTGATCCTCTGAAATCTAGTCTTTTGCTCAGTTCCTGGCATTGTGAGCTCAACGTCCGGCGGTCGGCTGCCTGGTGCGATTGCCGAGATGTTGTCGTGGTTCTGATTGAGATCATTCTCGGGATAAGAGATACCCAGACCAGTATTGAACGAGGCAGACTTTTCAAAAATCTCACCGAGAACAAGACTCGGGTCTGCACTGGGATCTCCCTGATACCATGAAGGCCACTTGTTCGTCATGAGTAGCGAGATGTCCTTGTCATAGTTGATGAGCTTCTGCACTGCCGTCATCCGCTCAGTAGAGTACGTCTCCAGGATATCGGGCTTGGTGACGCCACGAATTTGGAGGGCCAACTTCCATCCCAGATTGACGGCGTCGTGAATGCCGGTATTCAATCCCTGTGCCGCTCCGCTACTATGCGTATGACCGGCATCCCCACAAAGAAAGACGCGCCCTTTGGTTGAGAATGTCTGTGCGATTCGCTGCCCAATCGAGTACCTATAAATAATCAGTAAATGACTATTAATGCATGGGATAGATACTTTGCTTACAGCGTCCACCAATGAACTTCCTTGAACTTGACATTGAATGGCTTCATTCCGTTGATCGCTTCTTGCTCAGCAACCTCCTGAGTCACGCCATCTGGATATTTTGCGGCAATCTCTGGCGTGTAGGCATAGCCGATGCGCGTGGCCGCGTGGTCGAGAGGAGCCCACAGAACATTGCCGTGCGTCTTGCTTTCAATGGCACTGGTGACGTTGTCAGCCATCTCAGTTATAATGACCAACGACGGATTTATCAGCTTACCCGTATGATCGATTCAGAGGCATGTCCGTTTCCACTATACCGTCGATGCGAATCCATTTGTCTTCTGAAGAGTCTCCCTCGAATGGTATTCCCGCATGCTTGCGCACAAAACTCCGCCCACCATCAGCGCCCACGATGTATTTACTGTCGCAGCATTAGTTACATATGCCTCAGCCTAGCCTAGGCCATGAGCTTACCTCTTGATTTTGAATTCCTTTTGTGTTTTCTTGTCCACGAACGTGGAAATAACGGCGTGAGATCCTTTGGGCGCAGCTTCGTCGATTTCAAAATCGATGCACTCCGTTGCCTGGCAATATGCAGCACCGATTGATTCCAGTTTCTCGCGGAAAATTGCCTCTGTGTACATTTGCCGGAGGACTAGAGTAAAATCATAGGTGGTATCCTTGATATTCTCCATAAAAGTCCAGACTCTGCCAGGAATTCTTCGATATATGCTGTTAGCCTACAATGTTGTAATGCTGACCTGCCTGGGTATTCTTTGAATGAGTGATACTTACATTCTCTTGCCATCTTTGTACGTGACGCTTGTCCGACATGCGAAGCCCAGTTGCAGCATGGGCTCAATCAAGTCAAGCTGATCGAGCTGCTCCGAGGTTCTGGGGAACAGCGCAATTGCACGTCCGTAGGCATCCTGAGTTTCCTTTTCATGCTGTTCCAGTACGCAGACAGTCACGCCAAACTTTTTCAGCTGGTAGGCCAGCAAGAGTCCTACAGGACCTCCACCTACGATTACGACATCGTATTCCCTCGTTTCGCTGTCTGGGCGCATTGTGCCTGTGCGAATAATGGGAGTAAAACGTATCTATTCCACTAATGTAAGTATAAAGGTTCTCTAGGTAAGTGCTTGAATGTTTATTAAAAAAAAAAACAGTATCATTACATCTCAATATTGTAAGACTTATGGTCGCGCCCAACTCCTCCAACGCAATGTCAAGACAATTCTGGCAGTCCGTCGGAAGGCGGCCAAGTCTAAATCGTTTTCGGGGGTTACAGCGCTAACAGCATTACTTATCGCCCGCCTATACCCGCCAATGAATAGTGGCATTGATGGCCCCGTGAAGAGGGGTATACCCCCGCAGGACACCGGATGTCAGCCGCGAAACCTCGGGCAGGGTTCTGATAACGCCTCATTCGTTTCCCACTATTGTAAGTTCTTGTGACCATGTATTCATGCTTCAAGGCTGGTTCTATGAGATGATACTGAGTGCTCTGCTCGGACGTCAGAATTGTCGACACATGAACTGTTCTACTGATGACAATGTTGATATCCCTTCACACAGATGTACTAGGTATACATTTGCATTGGCGGATCGTCAGCACCATCGTCAGCACTCACTCCTTGTGGTCCTCTAGTGTAGAGAGCGCGAAAGTGGAACATGAAAGTAAACGAAGATCATTTGAGTCTACCAAAAGATGATACGCAACCCCAAAGCACGCTTGAATCTCTCTACAAATGCCAAATTTTGCGCTCCCACATTCGCAATGGGATGTAAAGAATGACTCCAACGACTAGGGAAAGAATCCAGCTAATATCAGTGCCTGCCTCTGACCCTCCAATACCTGCCGCGATAGGTCCCACCCACCAAGTTTGGCTCATACAGAGAACCGATATGGTTGTGCAGACAAACCAAGTAAAAGTTGCCGCAAATCCATAGGGCAGCTTTGTCCGGTCATTCCATGCTGTCGGATCATAGTCAAAGTCACGTCTCCAGAGAAAATGCTCCGCCAAGAAAATGGTCAGAAAAGGCACAATCCAATAGGCGCAAATCAACAAAAAGTTGTCCATGACCTCGACGAGATGATCACGCCCGGCAATAGCGCAGGCCAAGAAGACGGCACTACCAATCAAGGTCCAGACCAGGCGAGGGATGACGAGGAGCTTGACTGATATCATTTGTACGCTCAATCCCAGAGAGTAGATGTTGGTGGTAATCACGGCTGCCGTGGAAAATCCTAGGAGAACCTCGATAAATCGGCCGAACGCCAAGGCATGAGGACCGTTCTCTTGGAATACCGCGCCAATCAAACCACCAATACCGCGGTCGGTGTATGCATCTTGGAAGAGCGGATTCGAGCTTTGGCTGAGGGTTCCGAGACCGACTCCCAAAAGTTCAACCAGCAGTTGGCTGGATAGCAGACCAGCATAGGCCCATCCAAATGAGGAACGGGCTTTGATATCTGGACGCATGTAGACGCCATAGTCAGCGGCAACAGGTAACCACGCGGCCTGGAATCCGATGATGGTGGTACCAAAGGAGAGCAGGTTCGATGCCTCTACAGGACCCGTTCCCATGGGAACATTGACAAAGTGCCGAGCACCGAATCCGGCAACAAAAATGAAGCATACCAGCATGACATACCACGAGTATCGGTCATAGATATGCACCATGCGGTAGCCAAAGATGCCAAAGATGATGGCCACCAAGCCGACAACGAGGACCGCCACCGTCAGCGGCAAGTGTCCATCGCCGGCATCATACAGGACTGCAGCACCCGAGATGCCATTCACAATGCCCCAGCCGATTTGGTTAATGACGTTTAGCACAGCCAGTATCTTGGCCCCCCACCAACCAAAGCAATATCTGGGAATGACCATGGTGCGCAGGCCCAACTTGGGGCCGAATGCAGCGGCAATGGCAGGAAATACGCCACCCACGACGTTGAAAAAGAGGACGGCCAAGAAGGAATCCCACCAGCCCAGCCCATAGAGCGTAGGTCCTAGGTATCCCAAAGCCAGTGTGGCCGTGTTGAAGTTGGCCGAGAGGAAAAGGGTCGCCAAGTCTCGAGGCGGCTGATTTGTGCGCAAGTCTTCGGGTATGCGCTCAATACCGTGTTCTTCGGCGCCGATGGTCTTGATAAAAGCGCGCAGTTTTCCCGAGAATCCATCCTGTGCAGGGCCATCACTGACATCTAGAGTCTGGCCGACTTGGACTTCTAGATCCAAGTCGGCGGTGGCAACATCTGCGGGCTTGGCTTCGTCGGATGAGCCCATGCTGTACGAGGTTGTCGGCGCGGCTGATTCCCAGGACACTGGATTCAATCAAGATAGACGAGTGGAATAAAATAGCTTCAATAATAATTTATCGCCATCCAACATGATCACAATGGAGAACGGAGGGATCAACCAGTAATACAAAGCAAAAGCAAAAAAGGACGGACAGAGAAGAAACGCATATCGCAGATTGTCAACCATCAGATAAGATGAAAGATACCTGGAGACACCACGACAAGAGAGATAGGGACCGCCGACAACAAGAATCTCATTGGAGAACTCCAGTACGTGCGTAGTTGAAATCAAGGATATAGGCTGGGTTACCCGGCCCCTTCAGGGCACTACTTTGATTCTGTAGCGCCGTGTATGGGAGGGCACTCATCGCCAAGAAGCTGCTGCGATAAGACATTCTGCGACCATTTTGCTGCGAGTCGGCCGACCAATTGTTTGACAGGGCAAGAACCGGCCAACCATCTGCGCCTGAATTGTTCCAGCTGTGTGTGGTATTACGGTATCACGGCCGACTGGGGTGCATATCCGCCGCTGCCCCCAAATACTTCGGAGGGGCATAGCAGCTAGCCAAGTTCCATCGGCCGTCTCGGATAGAACCCGCATCCCCCGACTCGGCCAAGTCGTGGGCGTCTCGAGACTTATACTCACGCATCGCAACGCACATGGTGATGCGTCGTCAATGAATGCGCTCAAAATCATGAAATGCATGAAATGATTTTTGGCATTTGGATCTAGTCGCTTCGTCTGAAGATACCGGAATGCGTGTGACGACGACCTGCCGCTTGTTACGCCGATACTGTGCAATCGGACCTTACACTATGGGCTCTCTCGCAGCAGCAGGGCGGCCAAACGGCGTCTCAATGGCAGCCTCCCGGCACATCAGCCAACAAGCCAAAGCCTTGCACATTAATGGCCAACGGTTGATGGACTCGATACACTCGACTTGCGATTTTGGCAAGGCGCATCCTTATGGCGAGTGAGTCCAACCTTCTTGGTACTCCGAGTCTCAACGTCTCGGCCCTTCTCTGTGCTACAGCGGGGGACGTTCTAGCATGGTGACTAGCGGACTGAATCAAAACCCTTCTAGGCATCACACAGAGACTGGCATGGCCCGATTGGCACTAAATGACGACGACAAAAGCGTACGGCAATGGCTGATAGAGCAAGTCAAAGCTCTCGGTTGTACCGTGACGGTTGACCAAATGGGCAATATATTTGCTGTTCGAGCTGGTAAGACTGCCAATGTGGCTCCCATAATGATTGGATCCCACCTCGACACGCAGCCCACTGGTGGTAGATATGATGGCATTCTTGGTGTTCTCTCTGGTCTCGAAGCCCTGAGGACCTTACATGATAACAACTTCGAGACCAACGGTCCCGTAGGACTGGTTAATTGGACCAAGTAAGTCGAAGCTATAACGACGACTCTGGGCAATCCATTGTACTAACTGGACGCGCGCCTTTGTTCTCAGCGAGGAGGGCGCTCGATTCCCCATGGTGACTGTTTCTTCTGGAGTTTGGGCGGGCTCGATTCCCATTGAAGATGCCTGGAACTGCCTAGAAACCAGCACGTTGTGCAAGGGCGAGCAGCGCCAAACCCTAAAACAGGAGCTCCAGCGCATTGGCTTCCTGGGCGACACGCCAGCGTCATACAAGGCTTTCCCCATGGCCGCCCATTTCGAGCTCCACATTGAGCAAGGGCCTATACTGGAAAACGAGAGCCAAAAGATTGGAGTCGTTACCGGAGGGCAGGCCTACTCATGGTACGAAGTGACCATCAAGGGACAGGACTGTCACGCCGGCACAACCCCGCTATACGCTCGCAAGGATGCTCTTTTGGCGGCCGCAAAAATGATTGTCTACTCCAACAGCGTGGCCAAGGAGTTTGACGGCCTCATTACCACGGGCGACCTGAAAGCGGAACCTGGTAGCATGAACACAATGGCGCACACGGTGAAATTTACCTTGGACATGCGACACTTTAGCGACGATCAACTCTCCAAAATGGTCGAAACATGCCAAAGGAATTTCAGTCGCATTGCCCGCGAAGAGTGCGAGCGGGGAGTAGAGGTGGAATGGACATGCCTCACAGAGAACACGGCAGTCGAATTCGACGCTGGCTGCATCGAAGCGATAGAGGAGTCTGCCAAGGAGGCATGCGCCGGGCTGCCTCAAAAGCCGGACCAGAAACTGTGGAGGCGCATGTTGAGCGGTGCTGGCCACGATAGCTGTCATGTGAGCAAAAGGAGCCCGACGGCCATGATTTTCACGCCCACCAGGGATGGTATGAGCCATACTCCAACCGAATACTGCAGTCCGGAAGACTGCGTGCTCGGAGCCCAGGTTCTGCTAGGCGCCGTTCTGAGATATGATGCAGGGCGGGTTGTGTAATGAATATTCCTGCATAGCAAGTACTATAATCGGGAGTATCATGACATGAAACGGTCATCGCCATCGAGTTGGTCCTGTTCAATGTTTGAACGTCGAAAATGAGGCGAACAATCCGTGATATGGATTGAATGTTGCCGGAAGATGGCACACTATATTGTGCCTACTTAATTGACTTTGACCTGCTAGAAATCAAGAGATGCACTAGTCATAATATTGTTTGACTGACTTTGATACTCAACAACGGAATTGATCAAACAAATACTGGACGAAGCAATGCACTCTATCTCAAGCTTGAAATGAGCTATAGAACTGTCAATGTTCTGCATTGGCCTCTGGGGGCACAATGTCTTTCTCCTTGAGCCTTTCTCGAGCCTTTCTCAACAAATCCAGCGAGGCCAACCTTTCTGGATGATCATCAGCCAGTATTTCTTGTTCGACAGTCGTAATTTGTTCCAATATATGGAGGGCTGGCCGCACCTGGCCCTCCTCTAAATACATCCAAGCAAGATCCCGCTGCGATAGCAACCGCTCCAGATTTTCCTTTTCCGATACCCTCTGATAAATCCCTACCAAATTTTCAAATAGCGCCATTGCCCGTTTAGATTGGCCGTCCTGCAAGTACGCACGAGCTAGAAAACGCTGCGATTTCAGAGTCTCAGGGTCACCTTCCCCCAGTGTTGTCACCATTCCTGCTACCACAGCCTCGATTAAGGCGATTGCTTTCTCATTTTGGCCATTTTGCAAACAAGCAATACCCAAATTCTGTCGCGTTATTAGTAGTTCAATATGTGTCTTTGGCAGTAGCGCCTCTTTAGTTTCCAACACGGACTCAAGTAGCTCCATCCCCTTTTGTGTTTGGCCACCATTCAAATAAGCCATGCCCAGATTGTTTCGTGACTTTAGCAAAGCGAGGTCTGTTTTTAAAAGAATCCTCTCACGAGCATCTACCACCAACTCACACAGCTCGATCGTCTTTTGCATTTGTCCGTCATGATAATACGCTCGAGCGAGCTCTTGCTCGAATACCAGAGTTTCATCAAATTCAGACTGGTCATCGGGGTTCATTTCCTTTCTCGACTTCATGAGAGATTCCAACATATCAATGGCCTCTTTCGTACGAAGCCTGGAGCCGTATGCTTTGGCAAGCTCGAATTGAAGACGCACTTCGATCGAGCTTTTTCGATGATCTGTTGGGCCCATTGATTCAACTGCTGGCTCTAGCATCGCAATGGCTAGCTCGGGACGTCTTGAATATGTATAAACGGCAGCAAGGTAGCATTGGCAGGCCAATCGAAGCTCCTGATCATTGTTCAAAGGCCCCGAGGCCCATTCACAAGCTTCTTCGAGGCGCTCGATCGATTCTCGGATTCGGTCCTCTTCGAAAAGACAGTTTCCAACCTTGATGCAAAGAACGTATCGAGGTTTGATCTTGCAGTCATCACTTCCGTGCAAGGCGGAAAGTGCATGGGGTAGGTATTTCCTCCGCGTAGCTTGATTTGACCTCTGATCGTAATTAATAATCTCGGTCAAATGAGAAATAGTTTGGGTAAAGGCTTGCTCCGTCTTATGATGTTTATCTCTCCACACTTGGATCGCCACGTGGACCAGGCTATGCATGTCGAATATGTCACTGGATCCCCGTCGTGTCAGAAATGAATATCCACAGAGCACTGCAATAGCTTCTTCAGTTTCCATGGATTGTGAGTCGGGAAATATCGATTGGGGAATGGCCTTTGATTCAATGCAGGAGACAAGGTATAGTAGATTGATGGCGTCTTCATTCGACTTTTGGATTTGGTCGAATGAGATCAACCACGTTGTAGCAACCGCGTTACGAGAGTTGGGATAACGGGTATTGTCTTTGAACTCTCGACTAAGCAATGTGATCATGTCATTTTCTGCACCTCGTAACAGATTCAAGTATTTCTGAAGAGGCATTTGGGTTCGGTTGAGGTAAGCAGCTGCCTGCGTTATGGCCAGCGGCAGATACGCCAGATCACCAAGGAGGGCCACGACAAGAGACTCGTCTTGAAGATTGGCCTTTTCGATTAAAGAACTGGAGAAGAGACTGATTGAATCCGTCGGGTTCATCTCTTTGAGATTGATGACATCAAACTGTGCAAAGTCTGTTGCCACTTCTCTGGATCTAGTGGTCATCAGAATTCGGCCACTTTCGCTTTTGGGCAGATGCTCGATAATACCAGGTTGCTCGGCTGATCCGAACATGAGCTCCTGGTCATCTGCGTTATCCAGAACTAGCAGCCATTTTCCAGCTGAGCTAGAGCAGAGATAGTGGTAGACAATTTTCTTGACATCACTCTCTTCTTTTATTCCGTTCTGAAAGCTCGAGGTTGTGGCAGTGCCCCTGTAGGGTTGATTGATACCTTTGTCGTTTTTCTTCCGCAAGCCAAGGTTCCCAGCGATGTCAGAGTAGGACTGCTCAAACGTACTTTCGCTCACAGCAGCAACCCAGAAGATTGAGTAATCTTGGTATCGTTCTTGGATACGGTAAGCAAAGTGTAGAGCCACTTGTGTCTTGCCCATTCCCCCGAGTCCTACTATTGCCATCGCGGAGCATTGCCTTTCCGTGAATAACCTTTGTTCCAGCTCGTCGAGGACTTCAGATCGGCCGGTGAAGCGGGGATTTCGGGACAATGGAATGCTTTGATGCAAGTTGTGAAAGACTTCTGCAATAGTGTCAGTAAATTTACAGGCGCCAAGCTTTTGTGACTTACCAAATGCAGGACCAGCTTCAGTTGCATCAACGTCTTCAGGCACTAGTTGACCCTTTGCAGGATGCGCCACCGCAATGTGCGACTGAGTCGCACCCATAGCCGGTGGAATCTGGCATATAACTGCTTTAGCGTATGCCGACGCCATGGCTGCAGCATACGGTTGCCATTCTTTATTCTTGTGATGGTCACCATAATCACACACACCCCGGATAACTCCAACCGGTATGCGGTTCAACGTTCCTGCGGCTTCCATTTCTACACCAATCACTCCATATTTGTCTCTCAGTTCATTCCTCTTTTGTGAGCTTTTGAGGAGTTTATCCCCTGACCCAATAGGCCCATACCAGACGCGAGTGCGCTTCGATGGTGGTCGCGGCGCGCGTTCAATTGGCTCGCTTGCACCACCAGCTTGGCTGATGTACAACACGTCGCGATCCTGTCCTGGATCATCAAAGGTGCCATTCGCATGCTCATTCTTTCGAATCGCTTCAAAATAAGGCAGGAATAGAGGCGCTTCATTTGGTGCCTCAATTTTGATGCTTCCAATGGCTGATCTCACGATAGGCTCCGTTATCGCGAGTACATGTCCATATCGCAGTGGTTGGAAGCCATTTTCCGTCTCTTTGCCCAGATCATAAGCTACGAGTCCTGCACTTTTGCCTTCGGGGAGTCCTACCAAAACATCGCCGAGCCGAATGTCGCGAGGCGGACGACAAGATAAGTCAGGGAGTCCAGCAGCAACACCGACGAGCAATCCAAACCAAAGATTCGGAAAGAATCTCTTGAGCTGACTTGCCAACGCAGCCGCTGATCCCGTTCCATATTCTTGGCCTGCCGGCAAAGTCGCGATGACAATGTTATGTCCACCTATTTCACCAGCATGGAAGACATAGTCATCGCCACGACTCACCGGGAATCTTCCACGATGTCGCCGTTCCAGCATGTGCAGAGCTGCCTGAGCTTCAATCTCGAGAGGGGCAATCCATGCTACGGTGTATATCTTTGGGTCAAGATTCGAGGTCGAGGGCGTATTCGTTGCTGCCGCGTAGCTTGCCGCCTCGCTATCTTGTCGCCGTTTCATCGGGCGTGGCTGCTGAAGGCTAGGCCACGTGCGAGTGTTCAGGGGGCAAGGGCGATGAAAACGACTGCAAAGAGGCCAAATGGCTTCGAGAAGGGTTTGCTTTTACGATGTTGGTGAATACGTACACAGCCTAGGTATCGTGTAGGTTGTAGGACGTGAGCCCGTCAGAGCCTCGCGAAAGCTGACAATGTAGGCAAATAATCGCCAAGAACCCCGCCCCGATGCCGATGGTACGGCCCAATCATCTCATTTGCTCCATCACAGGCTGCAGATATCATGCAGCACTGTTTCCCAAAGCGAACAATTGCTATTCACGGGCATTCGTTTCTTCATTTCTTTTTTTTTTTTTTTTTTCTTTTTCCTTGTTTCCCTTGTCTCCCATCTCGGCAAAGTCATGAACCAATTTGGGCCGACCTCACCAACATGGAGAGAGAAGCAACGCTGCGACCGCAGCGCAAGGGGCGCAGCTGCTGTTGACGGTTCTTCATATCACAAGAATGAGAAGGAGGGACGGTCGGGTACTCCGTTTGGCCAGGCGAAAACAATATATGCTGGTCAGAGCTGATCAATTACCAACTTCGAAGAGACCCACCTGGTGCAGCCAATGTCATTCGCTGTAACATCAAAGCTGTGCGACTTTCACTGTTTTTCTTAGAATCATAGCATGAGAATGCTGCTTCATTGATTGGTTTGGGTGTGCCAGTATGCATTTCAATGCATTCAGTACTCGACTGGGCTGTCAGATCAATTTAGCCAGAGCCTGCGTAAGGTACGTAGATAATGATATGGCGAGCCGCTCAAATCGCTGTTCATTTTCTAATTCTTTGCATCGCGACTCAGTATACAAAATGGCACAAACTTCGTTGTCGCTTTTAACAGATAACTTGTCGTCCTGATGAGTCCAATTCTTTTTTTGTTCGATATTATCAACACTCCGTTCCGATGCAAACGGTGAATTCCCTACGAATGGCTGCGGCTCCGAGTGCCGTCAGCCCTTTCCTGCCCGACAATAAACGACTTACAAATATAACAAACGTCATCCTCGACAATCTACCATCCATGGAATGTTTAGATGACAACATTTCCCTTGATAAGTTGAAGCATCATCTTCTCAATCACGAGAGCACCGTATTGCAGCGAGACCAAACACCACAGACGCCTGATCGTCTTTATTCAAGGTCGGTAGACGTGGAGGGAAGTTCGAAGCAATACAAACAACAAGTCGGTCATCTGGACCTCGAAAACTGTTGGGTCCTTGATCTACTCCTCATTGCCATGTCAGCCAGCGCTCTTTTTGTTACAATTGTTCTGCTCCGAGTACATGACGGTAAAAGGCAACCAATGTGGCAGGTGTTGTCTCTCAATTCTCTGGTCTCCTGGCTTAGCACCTTTTCCAAGGGCTGCCTGCTGATACCGGCCTCTAAATCACTAAGTCAGCTTAACTGGGTGTGGTTTGCCGCTCGTCCTCGTGAGCTTTGGGACCTTGAACATTTCGACGCTGCTAGCAGAGGGTTCCTTGGGAGCGCCAGTCTACTGTGGAAGCTGAGGGGAAAGTAAGTAATCCATATCAGTAGAGAGGTACCCTGGAACATGATTTCTAATTACAATGCAGACATTTCGCATCTTTTGGCTGCCTTGCTCTAATTGCAGCTTTGGGATTCGACCCTTTCATCCAGAATTTGATTCATTACTATCCAGAGCAAATCGAAGACACTTCCTTGAGCGCTTTCACGGGGAACTCCACCTCATACAATGTCCTGGGTTTTCCTTTATCAGCCGGCAAGTTCATCCCAGATGGTGGAGATTCCCTTTCTCTGACCCAAATGCTACAGGCAGGGAGATTGATCCTTCAATGAAGGCAAACGTATACAACTCGATATTCAATCCCAACCAAGAAAACTACTGGGCCACACCTCAATTCTCATGCCCAACTGGCAATTGCTCATGGGATCCATTTACAACTCTTGACTTCAGATCGTTATGTTCCGACATCAGCTTTGATCTGAAGGGGGTATGCATCAATATCACGAATGAACTCAACGCGAGCGTCCCCCAATGCAAGGCATCACTGTCAAATGGTGCTGCACTATATTTTACACAATCATATGGAGAAGAGTCATATGGACATTCTTCATCTTCACTATCCAAGAAAGTCCAACTCGGGCTCAATGCGACACTCATGATGGTCACGGCCAGCAAAATGCCACTAGTGTACAAGAACATGTCTCTAGTTTCTGTGCAGTACATCATGGCCATCAGCGGTGCTTGGAATCGATCCAACGACACCGTCGAAGCCTTTGGGAAGACCCGATTTAGGGCAACGGAATGTTCTATAGAGCCCTATGTCAGGAAGGTGCAGGCAAAAGTCATTAAAGGTGTCTACCACGAGACGACACTAGACTCCTGGGCAAACGTGAGCTTTTCAAACACTTGCGGCACGCGGTTCTCACCACCGCCACAGCTCACCGGCAGCGCAGAAAATGACACCATTCCGCCGCCAGAAGTGACTTTTGGGGATACCAGTATCCGCCCGAAAACCGAATCAGTGTTTTACCATGTTCCGAGCGTGCTAGTGAGCACCACTGCCAAGGACGCGACATCTTCATTCCTCGCCCAAATACTCAATGGGTGGGTTACGTTCCGGGCAGACTCGTTTGCAGTCTTCACCACTATCCCCAGCTTATCCATGAGCCCCAACTATGCGCCTAGAGAGATTGTTACGGCCTTGTTCAATGGCAACTTTGACTGTCCGTTGAATGACCGCCTGGCGTGCGCCATGCAGAATGTCGCGGCAGCCATGTCAAAGACGGTACGCGACGCGTCATACGTTGCAAGCGGAGGATACAAGAACGCAGACATGTCTCAAGGTCGGGTCTGGACCACTGAAACATTTATCGCGGTGCACTGGCACTGGATCAGCCTACCAGTCATGGTATGGCTACTGGGGGTGGTGTCTTGGGCCGGAACGTTGATCATGTCGCGAAAGGCAGGTTTGGAGTTATGGAATAGCAGCGTTATGCCATTCCTCTTTTTATATCGGCAAGATTATCATGGCAACAATGGACTCGATCCGACTCGGACACTTTTTTCGAATCCCTCTTTTCAGAAGCGAGCTGACGGGGTCATTGTGCAGTTACGTTGCGAGTCTGGGGAAATGCGACTTGGCTAGCCAAAAAGACCTGACTGCGCTATAGTAGGGCGTTATGGTAGGAGTTGGATAGAATGGTTCAGGCGAATTGGATAGTAACCATATAATAATTCCAAATTATTAAGAATTCTCAGACACCGATTAAGGTACCATCACTGTATCCCTTTGGTGTCGACTACAGGCTCCCCAAAGAGCTCTGCGAGTCTATCTTGGAACTATGAAGGCCAGCATCTCTACCTGTAATGGCAAAGCGGAGGCTTGAGCTACCGGACGACGTCTCTTATTTCGAGCGCCACACTTTCGGGGACATTTTCCCACGCAAGGCTATCCCAAATTATATGCTCAGATTGACATCAAGTTATTGGAGAGCTTTGAATAGTGGTTCTGCTTCTTGTGATTGAAATGAATTGCGCGAGAAAAACAAGATTCATGGAGGATATCAGTAAAAGCACTTCGGCTTAGGCCTAGGCGCATAATTTACCTTATCGATTGCTGCCTACAGTGATCAAGTAACTAAGGACCTGTCATCCGTTGAACTTCCCAACACTGACTGCTCTTGGAAAAGTCTTCTTTCTTTCTTTCAGTACTCGCGCCTTGGAGCCCTCTATGCGAAAGAACTGCTGCATTAATGTCAATACCTTTTGAAGATGACTCCATCATCGTCGCAGCCACAAGATCCGCAAATTTGGGCCATTGTTGCCTGCCCTAATAGCGGCTCCACACTTGTCGAGCACGTCTTTGCAGCATCAACTGTGTGCGCAGTCACAGACCAGCGCGTTCTGAGAGACGGGAAAGGCTCGGAGTCATTGGCCTGGGATGATTTGGAGAGTTTCAATGTTTTGGCCAAGGCAAAAAACGCGGGTAAGCGCTTCGTCATTTGCATGCAAGAGCTTGACAATGGCCTCCAAAATGCAGAATGCTCGTCCGACGCGTCCTACAGCCCGTCTGCACACGCCACTTTCAGATCAGTATATTTGATCAGCGATCCCGTCCGAGTTCTCGATAATTGGAAGAAAGCTGGCCGCGCCAATGCAGAAACTCTTGTCGACTGTTTCGTCAACATGTCTCGCGCGCTTCAACAGGCACCGTCGCATACCGCTTCGTCCCTCGTCTATGAGCGACTGGTCCAGGACCCTTCTGCGGAAATCAAGCGAATCTGCAATCATTGGGGCTCGGAGAACTTGACAGACTTCAATCAATCACTCGGGTCCGGATCTGCCTCTTTTGTTGACACAGACTTGCCTTGCCATGATCTCTTATCCAATGCGGAGAAAGATACCATTGAAAAACAAGTCGGTCACTTATACCTGGACTTCTGGAAGGATGATGTGCAGAAATTGCGCGCCATGTTTACCAAGAAGACCTGGTTTGGATTTGATCTTGACGACACCCTGCATGAATTTCGTCGCAGCTCAGGGAAAGCCACGCATAAAGTCCTTAGGCAGATCTCCATGCAATATGACATACCATTGCCTGCGCTGCAGGGAGAATATTCTCACATTCTCAAAGAAAAGACTGCGAATGCTTTCTCTGATGGAAAGACTTCATTCGACTATCGCAGAGAAAGATTTGCTTCGCTTCTAGCCAACTTCTCACTGCCACAGGACAATACCTTCTTGACCGAAATTCTCAACAGCTACGAGTCCACTCTCAGGGCCTCACTCGAGTTGAAGTGCGGCGCACTAAATTTGCTATCGACTATCAAAGGCATGGGCAAGAAGATTGTGATCATGACAGAGGGACCACAAGATGCACAAGAGAGAGCAGTCAAGGACCTCGGCATCGACGGCCACATTGACTTTCTGGCTACAACTAACTATTTCGGTGTGACCAAAGTTGATGGCTTATTCAACAAGGTAATGAAGCATCTCTGCATCTCCCCGGAGGAAATTGTCTATGTGGGAGATAACGAGGACCGAGACGTGAAGCCTGCTATGGCCGAAGGCATTCTGTGCGTTCATCTTGCTGAGACAAAACATGTCGCGCTGGATGCTTTGCCGCCGCGACTCAATACTCTTCGAAAGCTACAGTACATTCTCTTAGACGAAGGGTCTTGATATGGCGTAACCTGCTTTCAACCACAGCCTCATCCCAATGTTCGTGGTATAAATTAGACGAGATGTCAACGAATAAGAAAACTGTAATAAGCGGGGGGAAATTCTTCCAATCATTGGGCATGGAAGGTGCCAAAGTGGCTACAGATGGAACAAATCCAGCTCCGACAGGCCAAACTCTTCAAAAACACGAGGCTCCACCGCGTCTGTATTCCGTAACTTTGAGACCGTGAATATTCATTGGAACATTGGAACGATGCGTGTAATCAAGGCGAGTAACCTTGAACTCAAAGAGTTCGTGGGGATAACTCCGCCCTACGCAATCCTATCGCACACTTGGGGTGAGGGCGAAGTGACACTTCAACAGTACCGTGATTGGCGCAGCGCGCACGCGGAATACTTTACCAATGATGAAGGGTCAGGCCGAGACCCAAGCGTCGCGCCCGTAGAGATCGCTCTGCTCGACATCAACTCAATGTTTCGCTGGTACGAAGAAGCCCGAACATGCTACGCCTACCTATCAGATGTCGACAAATGGACACTTGGAGACGGCAAATTGGGAAACTCCAGGTGGTTTCATTGGGGCTGGACGCTTCACAAAATCTGGCCACGCCCGAACCGAAAAACGGGCAAAATGGTGCGAGCTTAGCTGACTAAATGCCGGCGGTAAAACGGACGTTGCGACCTCGCGCCCGTTTTTTGCTTTTTAAAAAGCGTTTAGGCTTTATATATTTTTTCCTGGGGAACCGCGCCGCTACGCGCCGCCTGTTAAAACAACGCCTTCTATTAAGAAGACCTTACCTAACCGGTGGCCACCGGCTATAGGCTTTCTTAAGCTTAACCCGCCGGGCTATAGCCACCGGCCATAGGCTCCCACCGGCCGTAATTAGCCTACCGGTGGCCACCGGTTGGCCGGCTGGCCGGCTAAAAGAAGGAGGCGGCGTTTCGTGCTGCCTCCTTCT